TATGATTGACTCTGCTAGGACTAACAAAAGTGGATCTGCCCTACCTGTCTGAAAAGGCAAGAACACTCATGCAGAAGGTTTGGATCTCTTTTTATAGACCACAGAATGATCCAAAATTAGACTTAAATTTAGAATAACCCTATTTTACAGATTAGGCCATACAGAAAGTTAACTTACAGCTGATGAACATGTTAGAGTCCAGACACATGGCTGCACAACTGCAGGGCAGTAAGTTCCTAGATGCCAGATGAGCACTGATTAGATGACTAGATTCCATGGGCATGGCCTCATCCCACAGAAAGTGTGAAAACAGAACATACTTCCAGGGAAAGTTGATCTACAGTAAATGAGCATATCTGCCATATGTTTGCACTTTGTCTCCAAGATGAAGTATTTCACAAGATTAGTTGCTGCCTTTGTGGCAGGATTCAAGAATTCCAACATCCAATTCAGTTTTCTTTACATTAACAGCATTTTATTTCAAAATATATTAAACATTCTGTGTTTACAAAGAACTGCAGTGTGAGTACAGAATTAGATTAAAATCTTTTTATACCTGCTACAAAAACCCGTTCTATCTAGGAAGAGGACTGGTACATATAATTATTTAGTTATTTACCTCTACAGTGTACAAGAGCACTCCTTAACCTTAACTCACATTTCTTACTCTGCCACAGGATGAACACAGGGGTCATTTTCAGTAATGATACGTGCAAAAACAAATACTGTACCAAAAGAAATTACAGCAACCTTGGCTTTGAACATAGTTCCATTCTGAGAATGTGAGACGTGTAAATTTACAAACAAGGTTTTGTCAACAGACAATAGTAGTTATTGCTCCAGTTGCCCGTAGGTTCTTTGTAGGAATGCACTCTTTAGGACAATCTGTGCTCTGAAACACAAGAAACTTTTAGACAGAGTCTAGCCACTCTTAGGAACCTATGTTGAAGACTTCTTGGAATTTGGTTAAGTTTTACTTATTGAGAGCAGAGGGAAAAGCTTTGCTAGTCTCCTACCAAAACTTCAAATGTTAGTTAACACATATAACCCATGTATAGGGGTTATGTCTATTCACCTATAATCAACTATTAATACAAAAACATTCACTTCCAACCATCATTGAATGATAAATTGTTTTGAAAGGTAACAATCTGGAGAAACTGAATGCTTGCAGAATATATCTATGATAACACTTAATGAAAACATCCATTTACACAGCCAATAAATTATAAACAATTTCCCCCCCGATAATTCTTGAAAAGTGGCCTGGGACTGGCAAGGAGGCCCAAAACTGGGCTTTTAATTTTCCAACCCTAGGCCTGGATTCTTAAGCTTAATGAACTTCCGTTCTGTGTCTGATGTTTACCTTTGTGATGCCTCTCACATCTGGCCTACATCAATACCAGGAAAAGGTTCCCTTGCCCTAGGGAACCCTTGCCCTAGGGAACCCTTGCCCTAGGTCTTCATCGGATCATTGCATACAACAGCCAGGTGATAAAAAGTGAGGTGGAAAAAAAATGAATCAACATTTTTGTCTTAAAAACATCATGCTAAGAACCCTTCAGATATAAAGGGATGCTAGAACACTCATTCTGCCTTTATCAGCGTGTGGATGCATCCTGGTGCAAGCAAGGATGCTCTGCTCCCAACTCAAACCTAGCTTCAGTGTCACTACACAGAGCTATATGGAGCACAAAATAATATGCAGTTCAATACAGCAGGAATTACACTTGCCCAAGTCCATCCATCCGAAGAGCATGCTAAGAATACATTTATTTTTAATACTGACTTCAATAGAATTTGCCAGATTGCAATTCTTTCCTCAACTGGACATGCTACTGCTTCAGTAACGACACTCCAAGCGTGTCCTGTGGATCCTGGCATCTAACTCAAGAAAGCATAAAGCACCACTTCGCTACCCTAAACCAGATTAAAAACAAGAGGCCAGATGAGGTGCAAAAGAGATTAAAAGACTCTGGGCATCTGAGGAACATAGTATTTCATGACCTATTAATTTTGGCAGCTCTTTGGTAGATATGTGTAAACACTTCCAGGATCAGTAAGTTCTTGGCCGTGACTCGGGAGAACCAAGACCAACCTCTCCCAACTTCCTATTGGATTCAGCGAAGCATTTCTGCTCAGTCTAGCAACACTTGCTGGGCTCTCCCACTGCCTTTATCATGTAAACATTAAAGTCAGAAAGTGATGCTTGTTTTCCCTACATAGAGGCACTATTTTGTTCTCTTAAAAAAAAAAAAACACACCCAAAGTTTCAGTTAAGATCTGAATACAAGAGACATTTCTCAAAATTATAATATAACAGTGCATACCAATATATACACTTAGAAACCCAGGAATCCTTAAATATGCTCAACCCTTCTAGCATTACTTCTGGTTTCAAAGTCATCAGGCTTATTTTCCAAAATGCAATTTTATCACTATAAAATGCTTTTGTGCTATTTCTGCTGTTATTGTTTTAAAATACACACACTATAATGCATTAAGATATTTTACTAGAAAGGACAAAAGCAACAACACATTAAAGAACAGACCTCCATAACCTCTGCTAAGAGGCACTAGGCAATTCCAGTTCTTTAGAACTAGAAATGAGAGAATGATTTGCCAGAATAGGTTTCCCAGATTAAAAAAAAAAAAAAAAAAAAAAAACAGGAAGAAGCAGTAATAGGAACACCTCAAAACACAAAACAATATAGAGTTATAAAGATGATACATCCATGCATTTAATAGATGCCAACTGTGACTTAACTGTGACTGATTATTCATGCAGTGTCCAAGATCTTTTCCGGTAGATCTGCGAAGTGCAGGGAGCAGAGCAGCACCTGTGGCGCAGCGCCGCCGCCTGCCCGGTTCCCCAGCACCCACACAGCTACAATCCCAAGAGGATTCCAGAGGCAGCTGCCGACAACACGGTGCCCCTGGCACGGACACTTAGGCCAGGAGCAGAAACCCAGCTCTCGAACAACGGCAGCTGTGGGAGCATCTCCTACCCCCTAAGCAAAGCCTCACAGCCAGCAGGAAAGTTATTTTCCCCATCCTTACCATACCAGGTCTGGAGGGGAGGCAGCAATCTATGCAGCTCTCCACCTTCAGGCATTAAGCAACACATTAAGCCACAGAGCAGTTTGGCCGGCAATTTTACTCCTGTGCAATTTTATTCTTTTTTTATTTCCAGGTTTTTAAAAAGATATTTAGCATCACAGCCACACGTAGCATACACTTTCTCTTTGCAAGTGATGCAGATGACCACAACGTCTAATGTCAGACACAGCAGCCCAATTTTTCATACACAAAGCCTTCTCTTTTTTATATTTGTTAGATTGAACAGGTTATGGATTTCCCAATACAAGAACCACATACAAAATACAGACAAGTCCATCTTCCTCCCCGGAGTCTTAAACTCCGCATATTTTTGGATACAAGATATACTAAAAGATACTTTTAGATGAGCTGAAAAAAATGAGTATCAACTTAATTGCTGAAAACCACACACAGTATGTATGACTCTAATGTTGAAGTTTTTAAAAACAGTGCTGCAAATGAAGCCATTCCTGCCCCTGGCAGCAAGCAGCTTGTTGGTCCTTGTGGGCGAGCTGAAGGCCAAGAGCCGCATGAAGCGGCACCAAGGCTGGCAGGAGGGGACGAGCGCGCCAGGTTCTCACCCGCAGCACTGCGTTGCCCCCGCTGCTCAACTAGGCCAGCACTTACAGTGACATGAGCTTAACTCGCTGAGCTGCAAGCTGGAAAGCTCGGCTCCACTTAGCTCTACCAACCCTGCTCCAGTAACTATCAGCTGAAGTAAAGGAAGTTAAACCTGATGAACTCACCTTTGAATTGCCCAGCAAAATCCATTGTTAAATCCTGCCTACTAACAACTTCAGCAAACCTATACTCTGAGCAAAACCACTTCTCGCTGGCCCTTTGATATTACACTTACTTGCAGAAGACCTGACTTGCTAGAAGAAAATGATCAAATAGAACATAATTGTACTTTGCAATACCACAGGTTCACACTGATGTGCCCTACTACTATAGACATTCCTTTGTGGTTTTCAATTTAAGTTGAATATTAAATGTACTAAATATAAGTGGATACCTACTCCTGGAATGACTAAGTACTACCAAATTTTGTACTAAGTGCTATAAGAACTCTATAAAATATGCTAAGAAAGTGATACAGGTAAAGGTCACTGTAAAAGTGGGTGCATGAGGCCCCCCCAAAACCCACGAGCAATCCAAAAACTTCACCCATGTGGTTGCTGGCTGCTTTCGCAGACAAGGCAGTAAACGCAGGAACTGGCACATCACAAGGACCACAAGTCAGAATAACCAGATTTGTTATTTTTAAGTTTACGTGAAACTGATTTAAACTAAACTATTCTTCATGAGGTTGGATCTTCTCAGGAAAGAACTTGGAGCTGTTAAACATGAAAGTGCAAGTTCTTCCATTTCTACTGGTCATTAGATACTTGCTGAAAACAAGCCCTAAAAAAGCCAAGTATGCCCTTATATAAGCTACTTTTTAATTCAGTAACTGCTTCTTATTGTAAGAAGGTGTTACTGAAGTTGAATTCATTTTTCCTTTTGTCTTTTTTCCCCTCTGCCCCCTCTTTTTGGCATTACAACATTGCTGTACCAGCACTATGCCTTTCAACCAGGCTTGGCACATAACACAGGATCCTTAACCTACATTTACTGGAAACACATTTTATTACAGGAGATCCTTCATGGCAAATCTTAATTGAATTTGAACCAAGAAGAATCAAGTATGAAGACTCAATAAACAAAACAAAGATTGCATCAGGTGTAACTTCTCCACACAGAATGATTTCTCTTCCTGTTGGAAAAGGAAGATTTCAATTCTCAGCTCACTTACTGCTTTGCCATTCTTGAAGGTATCTGTGTCTGAAAAATAATTTCATCTTCACAGCACAGGCCCTTCTCTGACATAAGGAGGTTGGTGAAAGGGATAAAAAGAGAAAAACTTCAAGAAAACAAAATCCCACAGAACTCTGCAATGATGTGTTGAAATGACTGTGTCAAGTATTTTCTTTTCCAAAACTATAATGGGACTTTCTTGCTTAGTTAATATCAGGCCAATCACAGTCCACTTTGTAGAGCCATATATTTTTAGAAGATTTCTAAAAACATATGCATTGTCATGACAATACGCCCCTTCCAAATTTATCACCATCCCTGCAACATGAATAAAACACAAGCAAATTATTGGGAAGTGTTTGCATACAATTCTATCCTTAGTTAGATTACCTTACTCCTAGGTACAGATAGATGTGCAGATCAACTGTTGCAGTATGACAACCAATGACTGCAAAGCCTGCTTGTGTTTTGCATAAATCTGTATCAATCAGTTTGTACCAATCTGTAACGATCAAACTCTGGAATAAATTCAAGACAGATTGCTAAGATCAGAAAGGTGGGTCTTTGGTTAAAGCATGTGCAACTGCTACTTGGTACCTAGGGCCTCGCTCAAGTCTGAAATTTCGATCAAAAAAAACACTTGGTATTTTCACAGGTCTGTGTAAAGGTTGAAATATTTCAACAACCAACAGGAAAAGTTTACAATGCCACAAAAATGCAATTTAAGCAAAATTACAAATGGAAAAGAGCACTGAAGTCCTTTGATTCTGCGACCTAGGCAGGAGCCCATTTCAGGAATTTAGGGTTTCTCTTTGTTATTAAGCTATTTGTCAAGAGTCTTGTGGGGGGTGAGGAGTGGACTCTCTCCCTTTGGAAACATGCTTAAATTTCTTTGAAAAGGAACTTGAAGTCAGCCATTGCATTTACAAAACAACATTAAAGCTTCTTTCAGTCTCTTCCCGTTACTGGAAGGAGATGCGACAGTCTTATGATATCACTACCTGCAAAGATTCAAGTCCTCTGATACAATTCAGTTGAGAAGACAACCACTGGATGGTAAAGCAACTCAAGCAAGTTCCCCCATTCCAGTATGGGGAAACCCCACATTTAACAATCTCTAGAAAAGGTGTTAGAAACACCAGTCCTCAACAACATTAAACTTCAGTGCTTGTAACAGAATAATAAAGTGTAATTTGTTGGTGTGATGCTCAAAGCTTCTAAGGAAATACTTTGAGGAGCAGCAAGGAGTTGCATTCTACTTTTGTTTACCAGTGAGTGGTTAACACCTTTTAGCCACCAGATTAGCTGAGAATAAATATTTTGGAAGAAGATTTCTTTAAAGCTACTACAACTTAAATAACACAACTAACCAAATAAATAAAGGGCAAGTGAGTCATTTCAGCAGGCAGCATAACAACTCCAGTGGAAGATACCTGTCCTCTTAACCATCCTTTTTATGAAGACAAAGAGTTTGCAAACAAGGTGGCCGAGCTGCATGTTAGTATGCAAAGCCACGGCAAGTGGACAGTCTCTCTTGAAAAGGCCAAGTGCACGATAACGTAAGGCCAGCAGACTTTCAGGAGGTGCCTTCTCCTAAAATCCAAGCTGCACTTCCCTAGGAGCTGCCCTTGGGGACAGGAGGCGGTGGCTGCTGCGGCCTCAGGACAGCCGGGCGGGATCCTCTCGCACGGAACAGGCACAGCACCTCAGCCCCATCACTCGGCAGCTGCTTTCAGCTCCTCGGGACTCTCCCTAGGTGACCTGGGGAAAAATCAAAGCATTTTCTGAGTGGCTGCAGATGGCTAGTTTTCCACAAATGAAGAAGGAAAAACACACACAGGTGAATTGTGTGGGCAATGGGAAAACCTCTATGTTCACTATATATGGAAAGTCTTGAAATATGACTTAAACCGGAAGCTAGGGACCACAGACAGGACTAAATAGGGGTTTTTTCTCATAAGCTAGACACAGGCAAGGTAACATATTCACACGAACAAAGCACAAGATTCTTAGAAAAGCAGAATACTCGAGGGTGGAAGTGTAATGAGCTAACCTGTGTGATTCAACAAGGCGAGAGGGACATTACTGTAGCCACTGTCATTAACTATGTCAAGACAGGACTTTTAACTTTAAGTATTCCGTTGGGGGCTTATTCATCGCACTGCTTAGCAGGACATTTAAATGCACATTTCTGTACTTCATGTTCCGTAACTTCAGTAACCAAATTAAGCAAAACCAAACTTTCTAAGGAATAATGGCATATAAAGGGATCTCATTCAAGTCTCTTTATTCAAATTGTGCACATAATTATATAACTATGTAGTAGCATATAGTAGAATATTTGCAGATAGATCTCTTACAGAGACCGACAAATAATGTTATCCATAAAAAATGGTTTTGTAAACAGCAAAAAAAGGCTGTTAAATCATCCCCAAACCTAAAAAATAAGATATAAGATACAAAGTCATTACCAGTAATTTTTTTAAATAGTCCTTCATAAGTAAAGGAGCAAGCACACATTTCAAGTTCATAAACCTCAGTGAATAGTTTACTTTATAGTGACTTTTATTTCTATAATACAGCTGAATCCTCTGCAGACTCACTTCACACACACCTTTTTGCACGTGGACTCACATGGATAGACACACACATCCCCACTCTGCATCCGTATGTGCATACACACTGGCTCACTTGCAGTGCAGGAGACACTCCTAACTTACCGGTAAATCTGCAGCGGCCACGCTGCTTGCGATGGAGTGGGCACCGAGTTGGTTGGACTCACCAGCATGGCACTGTATATGTTGGAGGCAACCACAAGTATGCAGAGGAGAATTGGTCCTATGATGGCTCCTTCCAGCCCCAGGTAATAGGCTCCCCCGGCCACGGCGAGGCCCGTCAGGTAGGGGTGACCCCCTCTGGAATCGCGTCACAGGCGGGAAGAGAACAAAACAGTCAACAGGACTGAAAGGTGGATCACAAGTATATACATTATTTAACTGTTTAGAGATACCTATAGTCATACCATACACTGACTGTACAAATATATCCTAAGCTGCACATAGTTCAAACTGATTTTCTGTTCGTGCTTTATGGTCAAGAATTTTTAAACTGTAAGACAGCTAGTAACATCTACTATGAGTACCCCCGAGCCAAGGCACTTCTTTCAGACATTCATCTCAGTGGTGGCCAGTGACCTCAGTGGTGGGCAGTGTAGTACAACGGGCAATGGGGGTAAGCTGCAACACAGGCAGTGCCATCCGCATGTGAGGAACAGCAACTTTCCTGCGAGGGTGCCAGAGCCCTGGCACAGGCTGCCCAGGGAGGCTGTGGAGTCTCCTTCTCTGGAGATCTTTCAAACCTGCCTGGATGCCGCCCTGTGCCCCGTGCTCTGGGTGTCCCTGCTGGAGCAGGGGACTGGACTAGATGGTCTCTAGAGGTCCCTTCCAACCTCAGCCATTCTGGGATTCTGTGAACTTGCTTCTAGAATTACTAGCATTAAGATAGATTTATCCAACTTTCACAATTTCAGCTCAAGACTTCTAACGTGGCAAACATCATAGCAAGAAGGTCTGGAAAAAATAATGATTCTTGGGTCAGTGAGACTTCCTACTATTGGATGATGGTGCTACCCCTATACCTGTGCTTGAGAATACTGCTCTGCATCCTTGTGAAAGTGTGTGTCATGAAAGGCATTGGTGATCAAACCTTTTTGCAAAACATAATTTGACAAAAAGTTTTCACTGTACTTACCCCGATATATCTGAATAAATTGCAGTATCCACAAAATAGGTTGGCAACAGGTGAAAAACCAAGAGCAAAATGGCTTTACATCCTTTTCCTTGCACAAGCCACAAATCCAGGACTGCCGGGATCGCTGCCCAGTACGTCCCCAGAAAGGGGACGGCTCCAAGGATCGCTGCTAATGCTAGAGCACAGAGAACCAGGGATCAGAAAGAGAGAGAGAAATATTTTACTGACACACTTGTAATTTCAACACTTTCACCACACCAGTAGCTCCACCTACATCAATCATTGTAGATAAGACAGTGAAGACATAAAATATCAGGCTCTTGGGGGTTTTACAATTGAAGTGTAGGAAAAAAAAATAACCAGTTATGTCCAAGAAAAAGAATCTCCACATTAACATTCCCCACAGGGAAACATTTCACCAACTACTAGCCACAAAGAGTTGCCTCCAAGAGGCTCCAACTTGGAAAAATTGAAACCTTGTAGCAGTCACGCACATTTCAAGTTTCCCTTTTCCATAACTACAAACCAGCAAAATGGGTGCAAGAAACTAAGCAGAAAGAAATCTCAGGGAAGCAGTATAAGTGACCCAATCTCCCCAAGCCAACTGTTGTAAGAAGTGCTATGCGAAGCAAGGAAACTATGAGGTTCTCAACTTCACGTGCTTATGTGTGCCTGCCTGTACGTGTGGTTTGTCTACGCGCACTCTTCTGCTTACACAAATACCTGTGGGAATTTCAAGGGAGAGAGTACTTGCATCATTCTAATTTAATACAGTGTGAGTGAGCACAATATATTTATTTTTTTGCTCTTTTTAGGCTTGTTCAAAAGGCAAAATGATTAAGGATTTTTTCATGCAGTTGAAAGAACAATTTTATTTTTGGTAGGTCTAATGGCAAATGATAAATTTAAGATACTTGTACTTGACAAAATTTCATTTTCTGCAGTTTTATGTTTTATTTTATCCAATACTGTTTTCTGTTGCTTTAGAGTTTCCCCTGATGTTTCCCAGTACAACAATTTTTTCCTGTTTATGGGGAAAGAGGGAGAAAAGATCAGAGCAAAAAATTTTCCTGTTTTTTTTTTTTTTTCCCCACCAAGGTGGCAGATGAATTGAGCCATTTTCAAAAATCAGAGGCTGGCCTGGGAGCAGCTCTGAGCACAGGAAGCCTGCCTCTGCCCTGCACTTCCATGAGAGAACATCTGCCCTTAGGCACCCTGAAAAAGCAGCTACCTATCAACTGTTGAAGAACCAAAGAGAAGGCAGGCAGAACGAGCTTACAACCCAGAACAACCTGGGCAGAATAAGAACAACCACCAGCAAAAGAAATAGATGGGGAAGTGGTTATTTGGCTGGGGTTATTTGGCTATTGCGAAAACAACAAAAAAGATAAAAGGTAAGAACGTAAGATCTAATCCTCCCTGCACTGTGCCCACAGCTCTCCTGAAACATTTGTGGAGCACATTTTCAGCAGTGCTACCTACATCACAGCTGGAATAAGATTTTTGGAAAATAAGAACTAGGAAAATCTGTAAAGTTTTTAATAGTATAATGAGATTTACAGCAGCTTAATTTAACTTGAAGAAAACAATCAGCGCTAAAAATCTCCCTGGAATCGCAACAACTGTCATAAAAGTATTATTCTTCTCATTTCTTTTCCTAGTGAGGTTTGAATAATGAAGAGTCAATAGAAAATGTCACATATTGAACGGGGAATAAAAAGGTTCTGAAGAGCTACTTAGTGAGTTTATACCATACACTGAATCCATTGACTCGGGCCTCATGATGAAAAACAGTATCCAATCCTAAGTAAGAGCTGTCAATCTCTGATTTAACATTCTCTAAAAATAAAATTGAGACTAATCTTATCAGTAACATTTAACTCTACTGACCTTGTACAATAATTACGTAACATCGCTGAAAAATAGATTGCAATAGATCCAATTCTTACCCGATGGTATGAAGACTATGTTAATCCCAAAGATTGTGTGAGTCAGCCAAGTGTAGAGTCCATAGAACCCAGCCATTTTGAGTGAAGCATCAAACACACCTCTAAAATGACCAAAGAAACTCTGTTAATTTTATTGGAGATAGGATTCTGGGAAGTATCAATATATATGAGGTGCTTAGAAAAACAGCAAAGCCCTAAGTGTTGTAGGTCATATAATTCAAAATGTAACAGAGACCTTTATGCATTTGTTCCCCACAAAAAGGATACGCATCCATCATATTTATCAATGGGGGTTTTGGGGTTTTTTTTAAGGTTAAAAACTGGACTGTTCTTTACTTTACAAGCTATTCTAGGAATAAAGCCCTTGAATCAAGCTCTACAGGCATCTCACCACATCCTCTTTCAAAACGAGTCTTTTATCCGGGATGCATATTCTCCACACAAAATACTTTCTCTTTCCCCTTTTCCATTTCCAAGTGTTCACTCACCTTTACCTGCCTGCATTTCTTACACCTGCTTATTCTCAGCACATTAACCTGCTCGTCCAAGATGCAGAAAAGTTGGCTTAAAATCTTAACTGCCTATATACTTTAAATGGCTTTCAGGGTGGAAATAACTGAGCACCTCACATTTCCTACTGGATTTTAGTCTCAGCCTCTTCTATTTCTTGTTTTTAGTTTCATTACCAAGTCATATTATTAAAAGACACACAGAAAATTCAGTAACGTTAGTCCCACCGATCAGTCCCACTGAATCTAACTTGAACTTGCTGGTCAGAAAACAAAGTTTTACTCTGTTAAGCACGGCCACAGATTCATGAAGATAGCAAACGAGCAGTTACCATAATTTTTTAAAAAAGCAGATTTCCATAATTTTTGCAACTCTAACACACTCGTGCATATGGGATATCCTATAACCAATCTAAAGAAAAAATGCATCTTAAGATGCCAGTCACAAAATTTATACTCTGAAAGTGACATATCCCACCATTACATTAAGGCTGTTGTTGACCCTTCTTTCAGAAAAGCATAGTTTCCCAAAGCTGCTATTTTCAGTGGATATAAGTTACAAAATAGCCCCAGCATCCTCAAACTACCCCCAACTGTTGCACAGGGGGTCACAAACCGCTCCTCTTAACAGAGGTAAATATGAAGTTTGCTGATGTTAACTACCCATTGAAATAAAACTCTCCTTTGCAATGAGACAACTGAACAAAAAAGTAGCATTTTCAACACGTAGCGCCCTAGCATTCGCGCTAATCAGCTAAGGGATTTGGTCTTGAACAAGATATAGATCCTTTGGATGGAAAAACTGATGCAAATATTAGAACTCTACATGTAGGATAGGGCTCCAGTGGTTCTGTTAAAACTTCAGACGTCTTTTTAAACAGTTGAAACTGGTAAGGAAGAAAAAAAGCAGCAAATAGCCTTTCTTCACTGCCACTCTACTTTGAGCACAGTAACCTTTTAATATTCTCCATATCACTTGTAAAAATATAATTTTTAGATCCCACTTGTAGCTGAAAAGTTCATCACTGAGGCTTAGAGCTGGCTGGACTCAAGACTCCCAAACCCAGTCTGACATTGGTAACCCCTCAGTCTGAACATATTATTATTACTACAAAAGAATGAATGACAAGTACAGGGAACATTTTGATGGCATATTTTGATTGCTCATGCTGCTAGACAGAATAATTGGATCTTAGATGACAACAAAGCAAAAAAGTTAAAACTTTTACGATACTAAATCTTTCAAATGCCAGGACACGCTGACGGTTTTACATCAACCTTTCTGTCTATACAGTCTTGTTACAGCAAAATAAATCTGTATTAAAACAGACAGCTAAGACACCATAATAATATTCTACCACCTTGAACAGGCACATAAGGAATTATTAGGTAGGCAGGCAAGGAATCCTGCAATAGGTTGTTCTAAAAAGTAATTCTTGTGGTAACACCTTATCATTAGAAATGCCTGATACCAAGTTTCTTGCTACATGTTTAGTAATTCCTTCAGCACTCCCCCCCTCCAAAACAGCTTGCAGGGCCAACCTTAGAAGCAAGGAGAAAGACACGACCACAGCTTTTGTGGAGCTGGGAACACGGAGAGGTTCCCAACGCCCAGCAAATTATGCTGCCGATGGCGATACGGTCTCTACCACATACCCATGGCGTTTGCATACAAAAAGGGTGCAGGTTTTGGCAGCAAATACCAGCATTTAAAAGAAAATGGTTAACATCGTAGTGGTAGCTGTACATATACACCCAATGACATAATTAAATTAGCATTACTTGGTGCATGCATGTAATCACAGGATTTGTATCTTTGATACTAATCCCGTATCCCCTTGTGCAGCCACCCCTTGTGTGCAAGCACACCCACGTGCCTGAACACGCACCCACACGCGTACAGCTGTCCGTTTAGAGGCGCCTTCAGCCTTAAACTAGCTGCAAAGTGCAAAAACAGACTAAAGCAAATTGCTGTTAGCAACACACAGAATGTGCTGTCTGCAACATGAAACTGTCTGGATACTGACACTGCTTGATACAAAACAACGAAGCCCTTCCACAAGCAGTGAGTAGGTTTACAAATAAACTGTCTTTAGGTTTAGGGTTTTTTTTTAATCATATCCACATAAAACTTTAAAAGAATACACAACTTATTTAATACAAAATATTTTGGATGTAAACGGGAAAATAAATACAAAGACAAGTACTTTATAGCACACAGGACAAAGCTACTAAAAGTATGAGCAGTTAAACACCCGTGTTTATCCTACTAGCACAGCTAGGTTACAGCTACTGTTTAGTTTAGTCCCCAAAAGAATCCTAAAATATTGTTCTATTTCTTTTGGATTTACAGTTTACACTATTTTTTCAACAACTCAAACCAAAGCTTCTCTTTGCTCCATATATATATATATTTTAATACTGTTATTCCCCATTTTAGATTAGAAAGTGATGTAATAAGATGCAAACAACCATCTTCAGTTCTATTCCTGCCTCTTAACATACACCCTACTCAAAGAGAAGCAAACAAACACCCCACAAAAAACAGCAGGTCGAGCTTACAAAAAAATTCAATAGAATTCCTGTTCAGAGCATTCTTGTGACAATGCCATTTCTGCAACAGACAGGTCTGGTACTAAAGAACATATATACACGCACATATGCAAAAAATCATTCAAAATGTAGCTGGTTAGCAGTTGGTTTCAAAATAAAGCTCTTAAAAGATATTATTAATATTACAATAAAATACATAATATCACACATCTTGGCTTTACTGAGCATTAGCTTAACATGCTGAAAGAGAATTGTTTTCTGTGGGAACTGAATCACCATCTCATTTTCTCCATCACTACCCCCTGGATGCCAAAGATGGGTGAGATGACCTCTATTTATCAACATTTAAAGAGATCTGAAATAAGCTATTATGCAAAAGAGAAAAACAGTAGGAACCTAAGTCAGTCACGAAGATATTATAAGTTCTCTTCATACAAAGTAACTGTCACACGACAGCTGCCATGCTCTTTGATGCGAGGCAAACTGCAGTTAAGAACATGTCTACCTTTGCATTTCAACTCCTGCTCTTTAGAAACACCCAATATAGGCAATCCAGAAGCCGATCAAATTAGAAGTGTGTGTGTGTGTGTGTGTGTGTGTGTGTGTGTGTCACATGAAGAAAATGAATGAAATAACGATAATACTTCTCAAATGGAAAACAAACCATTTTTCTCTTCCTAGTACCAGGGAAGAGATTTTCATGAACAAACATCTCAAGATTCAAGATGCCACCCAACAACCTGAACGTAAGGCCTTTTACCAAAGTGACCAGACCCCATCAACCCCCCAAGCTGCAGTAACTTCAAGCCCCAGCCATACCCGTGTGCATGCACTCATGTGAAAGTATCGCACACACTAAATTGCACTGAGGCCGTGACAACATGCAACTTAGTAATGTGCAATATCTCCACCAGAGCAAGCAGAATGAGAGCTTCGGGGAAGAAGGGTATGGTGCATTCAGGAAGAGAACAACATGCTGCTCAGGGGAAGGAAGATGGGTCAGGCAAAGGTGTGCATGCTACTACTTTGGAACCCTGTGGACCTGCCTCATCCATTCACGGGAGGGAAAAAAACATAAAAAAAACATATAAAAACCACACACACAGGAGTACCACTTCCTTATCTCAAGGGTGCTAATCTGAATGTTGAATTTCCTGAACATACACAGTGATGTAGATGAGGTATGAAATACTTGGAGTTTATGGAACTTCCATAAACACTTGCTCCAGTTAACGTGACCATGAACCTTCACTCTCAAAATGTTCCGTTATTAAAGCACTTTAACAGAAACGTACACTAACTTGTACTGAAAACTGAAATATATAAATGGAGTAAACTGATTTTACTGGTTCTTAAATTTATAAAGCAAGAGGTCATCTTTTCAATTCTGAGCATGAGGGCTTACAAAAATATCACGTCAGCTCATCCTACTCCAGTATAACCCTTTTCTCACAATTCCTTGTTTTCTATTCCTCTTCCATCACCATCTCCTTTGCTTTTAGGAACAGTTTTGGAGAAAGTGATGCTTACTACTGTACTCACAGACTGCCAAATATCACTGACAGCACGAAGGTGGCATCAAGTATGTCCCTCGATCCCTGACTAAACGATATTGTAGCTGGAGCACAGAGGAGTGGCAGGGAGCAGGGCGCCAGCAAGTGTGGGCCGCGGCGACTTGCGCTGCATGGCGGGTCTGCGCCCGAAGGTGCCGAGCACACGGGCTCGGGACGCTCGCGTGCAGCGACCGCGGGGCCGCGGGTGCAGGCAGCCGCCAACGCTGCCACCCACGCACCCCAACAGGCACACCAAGCGCACGCAGCGCAGCCAGCGGCCCAGCCGCTGCCCGAGCTGCACTCACCTGCAGGCCCGGCCGGCTGCCCCTCCTGCAAGGCCGCCTGCCTTGGCGCTCCATGCACCCCTCCATGGGCACAACTGCGAGGCTCCTTTCCGAGCACCACCACTGTGACAGCAGCACTCTCCTCTCGGACTGGTTCCCTTCAGGAAGAAGTGCCAGCTGCTTGAGCAGCTCCCTTCCTTAGGCTCTATCACCTCTCCCAGGAAGGCTCGCCCTCCGTCTTCAGCCATCCCTCAGGCAGCCACCAGGACAAGGAGCTCAAGGCCACAAGCCCTCACTTGCCACCTGCTCCTGCTCTGGCCAAAAGAAACAACCCCCAGCACAAACTCAGGATCTGAGGGGCCTCTCCCACATGTGCCTCCTACCACAGTAGCCCCAAAGCAGATGGGCCCTCTTGCTCACAGCTCAGACTACAAGCAATCACACCTCTGCATACAGAGCAGTGGAGGCACAGGGCACTGTAGGGCACAAAGAAAAAGCTCAACCACCAACACAAACTCAGCAGTTTTTATTGATTGCCTCTGCACTGTGAGCTGGCTGGATGGGCTAATGCCTCCTTTGCCACCTGGGCAGTTTCCTTCTTCACACACTCTCAGACATGTTAAAGCCCTAAAAGAAACACTTGTGGGCCATGGGGCGCTGACAGAGGACGATGAGAGGTCCTGGCCCTCCAGGGATGATGGCGACACTCCGCTGTCCCAGCCAGTCTATGCAGGAACTTGCTAAGCTGCAGCCACTTTGCTGGTGGGAGACCCACTTCCTCCGCTCCAACCTCTTGTGGAGGAGGGTCCATCCCCACAGGCTCCACCCCAGCGTCTTGCAGAGGAGGGTCTGTCCCCATAGGCTCCAAATAGCCTCCTGTGGGGAAGGGTCTGTCCCCATGGGCTCTGGCCCAGCCTCTTGCAGAAAAGGGTCCATCCCCATGGGCTCCTCGCCATCCATCCCTCCCACAGCCTCTGGCAGCCTCTCCCGCAGGCCTCAGTCTGTACCAGGCAGTGTCCTACTTAGGGCACTGTCACCACCCAGGCCCACTGGGCTGGCCATCCTGCACAGCAGTTGTCTCAAAACTGCCTCCCGAAAAGGTGCTGCAGCCCCTGGCCTCCTTGCACGCTGCCAGCTCCAAGTCTCCTTGGTGCCACCGCAGCTAGAAGCTCAGGGAGCTGGGCCCCACTCCCAGGTGTCCTCTTTTGTGCCGGTCAGCTCCATGGGCAGCGAGGTCACTGGTGACAGCAGCAGCCACTGGGGTGGCGGGTACTGGGCAAAGGGCCTCCCAGTACTGCAGTGGGGGAAGAAAGGATGATTTGGATGCATCGCAGGGAGACAGACCATATGGCCTGAAAGATGCCCCCTTGCCAGGAACCAGGGGCTTCCCAAGGCCAGGGGCAGCCTCCAGCAACCTCCACATGTTCTTGCCGCTCCTCCTGTGGGGCTGCCACCCCCGGCCCACAGGCCCTTTGCTGCGGAGCTGCTGCCCAGCCGCAGGGTGCTGCTGCACAGCAGGCACCGCATCCCATGTATCCTGCTCCCGCTCCGCCACCTCCGTGCCTGCACGCTTCCCAGCCTGCGGACAGCATCAGCCACCGCCCACCCTCAAACACCTCAGTTCCTGGAGCGGGTAACACTTGCGTAAGGCAGACACAGCAGCAGGGACAAACACCTGGTTACAGCTTAGGAAAATATTTTAACATACTGCAGGCTTAGAGTCCATTCATATTTTACAACAGGTAAAGTGCAACGTGGGAGATGCAGGCTGTACAGCATTTAGAGTGGAGACTTGTTGACTTCAACCCATCCATCCTTTTTTCTTTTATGAAAAGGAGCAATGATTTCAGCACCTGATTTAAAGGCTATTTATTACATTATCAACATGATAGCATTTCAATCTGTTAGCAGGTGAAAACTGATAGTTTCACTCATCACAAATACACTGAGGTAGTACAGTTCTGTGCTACTTCAAATATTACTCTGTTGGGGCATCTCCGTGAAGCATCCTTAAAAGCTGTGCCGACAAGAAAAGCCTCCTTTCCTTACTGCCATAGGTTAGAGGCAGAATGCAAGGGTAGCAACTAAGCCGAGATCAGCAGGTATGCAACCTGCACGCACCTTTACAGTAGGGCTTTCAGTTGGGTAAGGAGAGCGCTCCCCAGCTTTCCCCTTTTTTGTGTAATTTGGTTCATATACAGAGAGGTTAGACACTATGAACTAGATTTCTCTCAGATGAAACTAAGCTGGAAAATGCATTACCAGAGCAAATCTATCACATTCCAGCAACGAACAGGTACTCAGCACAAGATCAGACTAAACCAGTTCAAAGTAAATAAGATGTGTACAGCATAGACATCACATCCTTGATGTCAACTCTTTTGCATCAATCTGCTCTTACTGAGCTACGCTGGCTGTGAGTGCCAACACAGCTGCAGACACTGTTTGCTCAGAGGTTTTATATGTTGAATAAGCCTATTTTTTAAAGTATCAGTGTATACTACAGAATAGATTGCTGAATCTTTTTAAGCACCCACATCCAATCAAACTGTTCTTTAAAGCCAAAGGACAGGTAAAGAACCATCAATGTTAGGGTCTCACAAATCTGAAAGATCTGCAACTCATGGCTTTGAAGTATGAGCTGTTGAAGTTGCAAGTATTTGCAGTTGACCTGATATACTACACATGTAAGACTTAAAACAGAATTTTCCAGAAAGGATGAAAAAAACACAGAAGAAAAAAACAGAGGAGCAGCAGCATCAACAACCACCACCACCACAACGTACCTTATAGCCTCTTCCACTGACTGGCCAACTATGTTTGAGGAGGGACCCGGCTGAGACAAAGGTGTCAGGCTGATCACCCATTTCACTGGCTTGTAGTACTCATCACTGGAACTCAGCAGGTAGAATAGCGTGGTCAGGAAAATCACCTGAAAAACAAATAGGAGCCTTATATTAAGAGGCACTAAATACTCCTCAAAATTACACTGTGCACATACGCTTCATATCATTCAACTTCCTTAGAAAAGGCACTATTCCACAAGCCTGGATTTAGAGAAACATAGCCGTAAGTTTTCTACCCTGTGACCTAAGAGACTTAACAGTTATATCTAAACATCGTAACACTTCTGGACCTTTTCTGCTTCTTCATAAAGTTGCATCCAGATTTAATAAGTTTTTTTTTTTTTTTCCAGTACATACTTCATTGAATAGCAGTGCCTATTTTGAAAAAAAGCCCCAAAACTCAATTGTATAGCTAGATACAGAGCAACAACAACATATCTCCACACCACAAACAAGTGATTTACAATTTTTTTAAGCTGACATTACTGACTGAATACTCCTTGCACAAGACAGTCGTATTGCTTCAGAGTCTAAAAACCAGAGAATACCACCACGTTATAGATGACCCTTTCACTTCTAGGGGCCTCAGCAAGTCTTTGGCTAAGGATCTGTCACTGGAGTACACTCGGCCTTCAGTAACACACCTCAACCAGGAAAATTCATTATGTTCCAATGTCAAACCATGCCTTGTGTTTGTTCCACCTACAAGCCTTAATTGTTCAATCTTTCTTCATAAGATTAGAAAGAAACCTTTCCATTTCCTTATTTCCAGCACCCTGACATGTTTGACTAAGTTGTGTCTGAATCTATTGGATAAACCAATTGGATAAGTCTTCCACGCTGCAGACACTGCTGCTGCTTTGGCTTCTTCTCTGCATACGCTCTCAAAAATGAGAACACCACCACGGGCAATATTACATTACCAGCCTCAACAATATCACTGTTCTGTCATCTTTCTACCCCTAATTCTCTCCTATGCAGTAAAATGCTATACTCTTCCCCCGACTCCAACAGCCTTTAACTTGAAATTCACATTAAGCTGTTCTCCTACCACGAGAGTGACAAGGAGTCACAAAATATTATAATTTGACATTAAGTTGCTTGCTCTCTCACCCAACAAGCAGAATAGTCTCAGAAAAAAAAAAAAAAAAAAAAAAAAAAGAGAGATTTTTTTACATAAACTACTTCCTCGACAGCAATTCAAGATCTCATGGATGACTCTGAGCAGTCAAAGACTCTAAACAGGCTATTTCCATTTCTAAGCACTTGACAAATTACTATTTCTTGCTGTAGAATTTAAGATATACTCCCAAAACCCGGAACTTTTAGTGCTCTGAGGGCAGAAAGTGACCGAATTCAAGGAGATATAGCAGTAAAACATTACGTTAAGATTTTAATTCACCATTTCCACGTATATCCAGCAACATGTGGTTTAACTGCTTGTGCATGGATCTGGTAGACCTGGGAAATGTTTCTGCATTTGCTGTCCAGATTCAGTTGCTTTCTGCCCACTGCCTTCACTCTTGACAGGTGGCGTGTACATTTGTCTTTTTTTTTTTTTTTGGTGTGTGGGGTTTTTGTTTGTTTGTTTTGGTTTTACAAGAGGCAGTAGGAGACAGCTCAATCTGAAATCTACATTAAAAATTTGTTAATGAGAAAGAGGTTGTGGGGGAAAAACAAAACCAAAAACCCCCCACACATCCCGCTAGGCAAAAGATTGATATGCCTTCAGACTCTGGAAGAGAAGAACTAAAAAGGTTACTTCCGATCTTCTGCTCACTTGCAAGACTTTTATTTAGATCTAAAGGAAGACGACAAATGAAATCTATCCCATGTGGGATTTGCAAATGATGCATATTACCAAAACAAACAACAAACCCAGAAAAAACAAACCACACACAGGAATCTATCCTAGGGATTACATCTAGATTTTTTATTATATCTAAAACATAAAAAAAAAAAAAAAAAAAAAAAAAAAAAAAAAAAAAAGAGGTAAAACTAAGCAGCAGCGACTGAAAAGCAGTAATTTCTGCAGGGACTCTGTGCTACACAAGAGAAACAAATACCCAGGATTCAATTAGTTCAGCAGTCTGGCTAGAAAGTACTCCAGAGTCTGGCAAGTTAACTCTCCTGAATTCTCACATCAGCTAACAATTTCATTTACCTATTTACCTGCTTATTAGACTTCATCTCTGATATAAGATACCCCGAGTTACAGCTTAGGATCTCAAGATCTTCAAGGCCTTTGAGCATAAAGATGAAAGACTGCAAGCTCCTGAATGCAGGAGGTTACACCAAGGTACAAAATGCCCCCAAACAACAGACTTGGAAGTTATGCAACCTTAATGAGTTTTGATAACAGATCCCTCTAGAGGATGTTTCCAACGAGGTGAGGTTTGGTTTTCATCGTTACAACACATGCACTGAGGTTCCTTCAGGAAAATGGAGAGTGCAGACCTGTGGCGTGCTGCTTACCACTGAGAGCACAAAATTGAGAAGAGCTGTCCCGCTATGGAAGACAATTGTCACAAGAGTTGTTATGGTGGTGAACAAGAGGCTCACGTTCCGACTCATCACTATCCACAGAGACTCCAGGATCTGGAGGCACAGAAAGGTAAGACAAAAGTGAGATGCCACAGGGCATTAGGTAACTAAAACAAAACTGCTTGCAAAGCAATTCCTCTGTCAGGCCTGAAACAAAGAAGAGGTTTAAACTATCTCCCTTCATGTCCAGATGACAGCAGGTAACACTAAGTGAAAGCATGTGCTTCACCAAAGGCAAGTTTCTAGCTGCATTGTCACAAGGTTTGGCGTTGTCTCTCCCTAAACTCAGAATTATTTCATTATGTAAAATTTCAAAAGCTGAGTGTGCTCATGTTTGTCTATGGTGATTAGAATTACCATCAACTGACAGCAGATCTGGTCTTGGGAGAGAAAACTGTTTCCAGCTTGCAAAAGCTAAGTCACACAGAACTAATTTTGCAAGGTATAAAAATCTAACAGATTCAAATCAAGAAGTGTAATCTTTAAATTAATATGCTTCAAAAATATTTCTTTTTTATGATGTCTACAGACTTGTGATTTTGCACAGTGATACATAAAGCAGCTATGGAAAATAAACAATGCTAGACAACCTATTCATTTCTGGGATGCTTATCAAATTCTACAGTGGTTTTGAGACATGATTTTAAACTGTGAATACTCAGTACAGCCAAATTGGTTTATGTATTGATACAGAAGCAACAGTCTGGACAGGTCAGCACTTGAGGAGACACAAAAGATGTAAAGCACAGGAAAGCATATAGAAGCATCCTAAAGGCAACAGGCAAGTCTCATAACAAATATGTAAACCAGAAAGAAATGGAGTCAGAATGTATTAGCCAAAGTAATCCAAAGATGTAAAAAAACCAAGGTCAGAAGGAAGAAGTTATACCTTTGGATACCTAACTGGGAGAACCGTGAAAGGGAAGCTTTAAAAACCAAAAGCCATTGCTCTAACAAATACTTCAAGCAATTTGACTGGGAAGTGGGGATGAGTCGGTATTTACAGAGTAGATGGAGGAACATAGCCTAAATTGCACCAATAAAAAGACTGTGTTGCAGGCTAGATACAAATATCTTTCTTGCAAATTTTGTTTTACAATAGTAGCTCAAATCAAAGAAGTGCATTACGGATTCTGTAGTTTAAGAATTCTAGACTTAACATGCAATTCTCAGAAAAATTCAGTTGTTCCCATTTGAACTGATTTCAATTCATTTTCCTTCCCCATGAGGTGAAAGGTCCAGTACATGAATTCAGGGATTCATCCTAAAAATATTAATTTCATTCTCCACAGAACTTCATAAAAATGCAATAAGCTGTTTTCCATCAAGTGAGAATAATAATTTGAGGAAAAAAGACTACAAAAGAGGTATATCCTTCTTACCTCTTTATGGTCCATATTTTCTTCAACTATAGCTTTAACGGATTCAAAATACATATATATTTAGATAAACGTCATTCATTCTGCATTAGGCATACAGTTTACTGAAAATAAGGCTGAAAAATTGACACAAGTATCAAAAACACCAAGAAGAGAAAGATTAAGCAAGAGAATTTCCTCTCTTCCTCCAAAAAGTAACAGAAGACTAGAGAAAGTTAAATATTTCAAACCCACTTGCAGACCACACAGAAAATCTTACAGTAACAATCTCAGTTGGAAAGAAGTTTGGTAAACTGAGGTTAACGAAGATGTCGAAATCGTAAGGGCTTCCTCCTCACGATCGATTCTGCTTACTTGAATGAGTAGATTTAAGTAGATAAGTAGATTTACAATAACTACTTAAGTAATTTAAATAACACTAACACTGTTTCCATAATTTCCCACGTATCTGAGCGTTATTTAAAAAGAGGAAACTGGGATCTGTTAAAATAAAATTATTCTGTTAATAAGGATATATGATACATACCGAAAGAAATGTCTCAATGTTATCATGAACAAATGATGCAACATCTTGCCAGTCCAGAATGTCACCAAGCCAGCTGTTCTGACGGTTTATGTGCCATTTGTGTCCTTTATGTCTTCCAGAATGTGTCACATTCTTAAAAAGAGACAATCATTTAAAAGGTACCAAACTTCTTGGCGATACACAGAATGAGAAAAATCAAAGATTTAAGGTTTTCTTAATAAGGAACCTGGACAGCACGCAATTAAAAACCCAGAGATGCTTTTATTTGCATTTTCAAGAATACCTGGAAGTAAGGAAGAGTTTCTTTGTCCCCTTGAAAAACCAAAACCTGACAGAAAACTATTGTTAATGTTTTCCCGTGTAGTTGGATTCCTATATTGTACTATTGATTAATCTCTGTTCAACATTAACATTACAGCTTCCCTGAGATGACTGTAATCACCTTGCTCCTTATGAAAGGACACAAGATTTCAGCTACTGCCAACACTATTTACTTTTAGCAAATTTTATCTTTTTCCAACACAATCCACAACAGAAAAGACAAGCGGCAAGTCAAAACAGCTAGTTCTCATGTCTCTCTCTCCATTGGCAAAGCTCCGTCACGCAAAAGCAACTTTAGCTAAAACACTTTAGTTTAGCTAAACACTAAACTGGAAGCAGAGCATTTATTCTGGCAACACAGCATAACTGCAGTCACCACAAGGCAAGAGGAAATGGACATCAACACAACAGGTGCTTCCTTAAGCAGCTTTAACCTAGCTATGAATTTACCTGTTGTCCAAAATTGCCACCTGATCACCAGGTGTTTGAGCACAGGACTACAGGCTTAATCTGGGCCTGAGACAAATCTTTAGAGAAGGATGTCAAAATGCTACGAAAAACAAATGCAGGCCAACCTATAGCCTGCATAGTGATAGGCCAACCTATCACTATTAAAGACCAGGAGATCGGATGCAAGAGACCTTAAGTTCTGATTTCTCCCCCTTCAGGCATCATGATACCTTATCATGTACAAGCAAAGAACTTTAATCCACTGTAGCACAGAGGTGTCACTTTCGAGCTAACAGTTTATTTAGCTCAGAAGCATGTGAGTAGTGAGGAATTTCCCTCCCATACATTTTCTATTTATCACTTCTCAGGCACCTCTTTTCTGTCATTCGCGTTCTCTCTTATCTTCAAGGACCTCTCTAGTCAATAATCAGAAGAACTAAGCCTCAATAATCAGGTTAATTCCCATTTTGAGTTTTGTCACTTGTCAACTGTACTGTTGCAGCACCTCAGGTGTTAATCCAGTATTACCAAGGGATCCAAGGAAACTGTCATTTCCTTTTAGCAAATTCAACAAATTTTAAAGAAAAAAAAACACTCAGTAAAGCAGACAAAAACATTTAATGAGGTAGCAACACAGGGTTCTTCTCCTTGAAGGAGATGCACTGTTCTGCTCTGTGATTTGTTATTTTAATACTCTAATTTAACCTATCCATTGGATATGTGCAACCAGACTCAGCGTTAATTAATCTCCTACCCCTTCTTCAGGACTTCTCAAGATATATATCTGCTATCTACTCATCTGCTCAGTTGCACTTAGTGCTACACTTTGTCAGCAATTCCTCCGATTCACAGTTTGGTTCTGCAGCTTTCAAGGAAGAAGATCAAGTGAACTCAGTTCCTTCAGCCACCTGCTGAACTGGATTAGAGTAACGCTATCCAGGCCTCAAAAATGAAGCTTAACTATAGATTTGTATACACAGTGTGCTACTGTGTATCTGATACACAGCCTACATCAGCAGAGGTTTGTCAGGATAGCCGTACGGAAGGACTTTCCTGGACCGGGCACTGAGCAGTAAATGGTCTCAAGGTCTCAGGGCCGGCCGAGTGCACTGTATACACAGCTTGAGTATCTCCTGGGCATTCCCCTACTCCTCAAGGGCACCCTAATCACCAGTGACCTATGGTGTTTAACAACTCTTCTCTCGGCTTTCCTCTCTCTGCACTTCATTTTTGGTTAGTGGAGAAGGGCATAGCTTTGAAGCTATCTTCAAAAGAACTTTGGCTCCTGACTCCCTCTATGCTTTCTTGCTGCCATAAGCAACCAACAGACTGGCTGAAATAGAGTTCAGTCTCAATGCTGCGATTTCTGCTTCAGTATCTCTAGACTTATGAAACAGCCTTGCCCTTTAGCTGCCATAGTTTGCTGCTTGCCCTCTTCACTGTCCTGTTAGTCAGTAACAAAGTCCCCTGCCACTATCTTTCATTTAATAACGGACCTTGTTGACTGTTCAAAACAAAAATTCAGTGAAAGACAAATGTTTGACTTGTCACTTAGGGCTACTGCCCTTTCCAAATCACATGCTCTTCCAGAATATTAGCTTGCCAGGGAAAAAAAATCTTTGCCAATATTGCACTGAAACTCTTACTTTTTCCAATATGAAGAACTCCTTGAAACATTAGAAATACTTCATAAGCGATCATATAAATAGATGTGTGAAATAATCAAAGTGATAGCATATTAAGTACAGAGAAATTATTCAAGAGTATGAATTTAGGCTTTTGATATTGCTGCTACACTATGGTTATGGCTAATGAATTGCTTACCTTTGCCTTTACAAGGTAAAAAGCCCTGACTGCATGAAAACAATTCAACCACTATGAATTTTAGGATTCACTGTACAGAACCCGTTACTATAATGGCTGTCCTAGCTGCAAGAGAGCTGTATAGGTGAAAGGATAATTTTTTTTCTTGGTTTCATATGAATGTATCATTCCCAAGTTGCACAAATCATGCAGAATACCAGCTTCCATTCTGTCCTCTTTCAGAGGACAGAAATTCAACCGAAAGTCCTTATGATGAAAAACAAGTGAACAAAGTAAAAATTTAGTGGTGTTATCTAAAAAGACACAGACTGCTTAGGAGTGAAGATAATTGTACTCCTACTGGAGCTGTAGGATGACCTACTTTACACATTGGAAGTTTTGGCCAATTTGGGATTATTACGGCCTTTACTTGGCATACCACTTTTTTTTTTGCTCATCTGTTTCCAGAAGTGTTTATCCATCATAAATATGTCAAATCAGTAAAAAACAGTACATACAGTAATTATCAAAGTTACTCACCTTCACAAACCAAGAATGGTAAAGCCTGTCCCAGAGCTCTAGCACTTGTTTTTCTATCACAGCAGTGTTGTTCACCTTTTCTCCTAAAATCTTATGGAGCTGGAATACACAGAAATCTTTTACTAAACAGTAACTGAAGATGAACTCAAAGCCAGATGAGTCACATGAGAATGTCCTTAAAGACCTGGCTTAAAATGAAATTAAGAACAACCCCATGTGTCAAGAGGCAACACATAGTTCAGATGTTACAATTCACAATGTGCAGATTTTACTTTCAATAATCTACAATATATGGCCCACAGAAAAAGAGAAAACTGGTACGAGGGAAAAAAGGTAAATTTTCTAAAACTGAACAAATGAAGCCTTATGGAAAAAATTAACTACTCCTCTCTATTTGCTCTCTTTTTTTTTTTCAACTAGCTGTCTCATTAAAATAAGAACAGATTTTTTAGATCGTAAAAACAAGCAGAGAAACTACTGAAATCATTCCCAAATCCTCCCTTCCTTCCCTCCGTCCCTATACGGACTAGAGACTAGAAAGATCTGTTGACAGAACATTTAGTCACACAAAAAACAAGAGATACCTCTCATTATCACAAAATAGAGAAACTAAAACATTAAAAAAAAACAAGTTTCCTTTTCCCCTCTTACCTTATGTGTAATCCATTCTCGGCCATATTGATATACATTATTAGCAGCTGAATTGAGGGCCTTCTGGATAACCTGCGCTTCTGGGAGCCAGCTGTTTTTGTGGTTTTTTTTTTAAAGAAGAAAAACAAAGTTATCTGCTACCTATTTTAACTATTTCATTACGCCTAAAGCACATTCCAAATCAATATTTTGAAACAAATACCATGTGGTTATGGTTAAGTGCACATAAACATACAACAACTAGAATATTTCCTTCTGCTTGTCAAAGAATAGACCTTTTAAACAAAGTAAAATTGAACCTAGAACATGTCATTACATTAACATGCCTTTCATTTCTGCTTCTGAAACTTTAAATTGATACCTTAAACTCAACTTTTCCCTTAGGAGATTTTGGTCCTCTGTCTGTATAGATGTGACTATTCATACCTGAGACTCAAACATTTTCCTGCTCCCTAGTTTTGGGGAAATTCTACATGAAGCACTTGATTTAGTGAGACACGCTGCAACAACACAGTCCCCCACAAACTAGAAACCACCTGGGAGCCAAAATTGCTGCCATCATTCACCTGATGGCACAATAAAAGGTAAACTTAATTCTGCCATATAAGTCTGCACGCGTCTTACATGAGAATTCTAACATCTTTCCGTCACATGTTGAATCCACCAAGCTTTGGCTTACATTGTTTGGAGTCGAGGGATGCTCTCCTTTAGTTTTTGAGAAATAAATATTTTTTGATGCTTCATGTTTGAAGGCAAACAGCTAAAATTCTGCTAACTTGAAGGCAACTGCTTTAGCTAACATTCTGCTAGTTATTTGGGCAGTACTCTAATACTTCTGTTGTGTCCATAAGCCTCTCTAAGAGTGAAACTTCTGCCTTCATTAGTGTTTAGTTCCATCTGACAGCTAAATAGAAAGGCTGAAGCATAGAAGAGATGCCATGAAGCATTAAACAAATAAAATCAAGAGAAGAGAAAACATATAATGCAATTACTTAAGTACTGTGAAAGCACATCTTGTTCCAGCAGTTAAGTGTATTATTTTAGTCCTATTTTTGAAAATTTCCCCTGCTCTTATATTAAAACATACATTTTCTTTCAATCCTAATAAACCATCAATACTTTTGTTTAAAAAGTACCCTTGACATTTCTTGTCCAAGAGACTCAATCTTTTCCCAGGTACTCCCATATTCACTCACTGGCTACTTAGCTGAAACAGAAGAAAGGTCAACCTGAACATCTTCCCTCCCAAGCCACACTCTTCCATCTCCTCTCTTCCTCCGTGCTATTCACGGGATAAGTCCTTTGCCCACCAGTAGGCCCTCAGGAATTCTCCACGTTCATTTATTTCTTCATCCCCTAGTGCGTTGCTGTTTGCTTTCATTTGTCACACACACTCATCAACAAACTTCCCACTGCCTACAGGATCCACCTCATGGCATGAGCAGCCCCTCCCAAATGATTTGCACGAAACAACCTATCCCACCATTCTTTCCACCTTCTACTCTTTTCCAGCCCCCTTCAAAAGGGTTTCTTCAGCACTTCTGCTCCCTTCAAGACACTCTGCGGGCAGCTCTCTACATTTTCACAGTCCTCAGATGAAACACATGACCCTTCCCTAGTGCAACGCATAAACACTTCAGCTTTTACATCACATTCTAACAGTTACCCTCATTTTTGTCCCTGTGTAACACTTTTTACATTAAAAACTAAGCACAAAGGTGCCCAGAAGCCCCTTTGTTCACCCTATTACATTCATTTAACTTCAGCATTCTTACTTTGCCCATTCTGGGTGACTGGCTACCGTCTCATTGATCAAGCTGCTAGTGACTTGAATCATGTGAACACTCTCTTGATGTACCTAGATTGAACAGAGACGAGAAATGTTATGGAATGCCAACTGGATCATCTCCTGCATTCAGAAAGAGCTCCATTTTGGGCTGCAACATCTTCGGAAATAACTCTTGAACACAGGTAAGCCCCTTTGATGAAGGGTCATTAGCTTGCAGAAGCAACAATGCAACCACCAGTAGCCACCTGGCAGTCTGGGTCAGGCATCATGTCACAAGCAATAATAAATGGTGATATACAGCTTATCCGGGGAAAAGATCCTAGCAATATAGTCAGCACAAGTCCTAAAATATTAAGATTCAAATATATTTTGAGCCACAGATAAAAAACATGGAAATTAATGATTACTTCTAACATGTTCAATTGTGCTACAAAATGCCTTATCAAATCAATTCTTCAATGAGATAAATGGTCATTGATAAATATCTTGGGTTCTTAAAAATGAAACCTTATAAGATATATAAACATTCCTACCTAAAGCTTCCTCGTATCCACCATGGATGGATATTTATATTAATATGATATTAAGATATTAATCAGTTACCATTTATCTCATTGAACATTCTTTAAGTCTACAGTTTGGAGACTGATATCAGAGCCCATCTGGTTTTTGTTCTGTAACTGCACTAGAACAAAACATTTAATCACCATCAACTGTTCCAAGTTGGGACACAGTTCTAAAATACAAAACAAAGCAGGACATGAGCAACCTCTTCTGGAGATCAAGAAAAACCCAAGTGCAAATCCATAAATATCAAAGGCAAAATGTCCAAACACGAATATCAGAACATGGAAACATAGAACAAGATACCCATGAGGTTATTATGGGCAATTACACAAAAGACACATGACCTTAAGCATTTTGCATACATGTTGCTGATGCAAGTTAAATTAAAAAGAAAAACAAAGTTTTATCATTAAAAAGAAACAGTACAAATTTCAAATCTATTATAATATATAATTTCACTATATTACTAGAATAAATTTCTTCCCTATTTCCAAATGTTTTCCTATCTGCTTTGTCATGCACATATTTATACACACACAAACACCAAGATGTTCCTCAAATCACACAATTTCACACACACGTCAGTAACTTTCATTCAATTTTTCCAGTGAGCTCTACAATTACATTTCTTGGAACACTGTACCTTTGCAGTAAGCAGCAGGGCTAGCAGCAGGGTTCCTATGACTAGCAAAAATATTATGAAAATGCTGATTATCTTATCTAGCATTTTCTCCAACCATATGAGTATCTGTGCAGAGAAAAGAAAAAAAAAAGAAGTCATGGCATATAAATCAACCTGTAATGAAAACACTACTTCGTGCTTTATGACAGTACTATTATCTATATTTACAACCCAACCGCAAAAAGCAGACTCTAATTAGACAGCATTTATGCCCAAGCTTCGAGATGAACAATTAACAGGCGATGTTAGCATGATGAAGGTCATGGTGTGACGTGTGACTTTGCAAACAACATTTACACGTTACCACAAGACATGGCAAGCTCTCTGCAAAGCAAGCGAGAATTCAGTTTGTACTGAGGAGATCTAAAGAGCTTGCTACTCATGTTAAGCACAAACCCTAGATTTTTTGGTCAAGGTTTTTTTTCCTTAAGCAGCTTTAAAACTTACAAATACAACCTGCACCCAACTGCAAGATCATCCAGGTGCACTGTGAAGCGGAGCCACGACCTTCAAACTGCAGTAGCTGGTGGCCATCCCAATCACTAGTGATGCATTGCTGCAAGGAACACGTTTTAAAGCTGCTCAGCACCTCCCAAATAACCGTTCTCTACTGTACTAAGCATCAGGTCGCTTACTCAGTGCCGAGTATTTCCACGTACTTTCATCCATGTGAAGTTTCTCACTGTTGCACATGAAGCAGCTACAGCCATCAGTACAAGACACGGGCACACGGGCTGTTTGGCTGTCCACGAGGGGCCTGCTCGCCAGCCAACCCCAGGGGTGTCACTCAAGGGTAGAGCAGTGCGGCTGCTGCTATGCACAACCTTCAACCTGCGTGGCCACGAGACTGTGCAGAGAGCCGCCAGCACAGAGCACGGTGAACTTGGTCTCGTACACAAACTGTCTGTTCACACAGAGAACTGGGAGAGCCCATGCAAGTACAAGCAAGTAGATTTTTCTAGCATCTATGCTTCAAAAACCCAAGCTATTTTTCTTACAGCTAGCATTACTGCAGAAAGAATGGCAGCAGCTATAAAAATGTAGAAATTGGAAGGACAACTAAGGTCAAAGTCCAGGAGAATAAAGTTTTTTTCAAATAAACAGGGTTATATAGTCATACTTAGGGATTAAGTTAATCACTTTTCAGTTAACGCTCCTACAAAACTACTATAGTAATCGCAGCTGCTCTCCAGTAGTTTCCATTAGTTCTTCCTTATTTGCCCTACCTCTATGTGTGAACCTAGGCTTGGAAACAACCCTGCGGCTCCTGGGCGATGGTCAAATTGCTTAAAGCTGAACTGGCATCTCTCACTTGAAACAAATGCTACAAAGGAGTTTTTTGTACTTATCCCCACACAACCTGAGCTTTTAATGGGTACTATCATCCCTTCTCCTCTCAATTTGGAATTCTTTCACATCCAACTCCTTGTTAAAACTGTCACTAGGATATCTTAATTTTAGAACCATTTAGAGCCATTGTTTAGAACTGTGAAGAAAACTAGAAAAAAAAAAGGCAACATCCTTTTAACAGAAGCAATGAGGAGCCCACAGCTTTCTGTAACAAAATCTGCAACAAAACCTGCACTATATTGTGACTTGTTAAAAGGAATTTCAGTGAAGGATATTTTGCAGGTTATCTGGGACATTATTTACGTTTTCACTGTTGCTGAAATGCTTCAGCAATAACTTTCTTACAGCCAGAAATCCCTTGCCGGTGCCAGAGGAAGCTCAGCTGGCTCTAGCTGTATAGGAGCTTTCTAACATATTCCGACTACTCTGTACTTAGTGCTGTTCCCTCCTAACAGGGCTGAAAACAGAACTTGGTGTGGCCTTCCAAACTTAACATGCATCCAATGATTAAGCAAGAAAAATAAGAAATGTAAGACCCTGTTTAAGAGGCCACAAATAAAAAAAAGGCATCGAAAACTGATAGGAGAGGGAAATTTATGGCATGTGTTTCAAAAAGAAGCTATTTAAAAGAAAAAAAAAGTTGCCCTGGTTGCTTCTTAGTTAAGAAAAGCTGTACCTTATAGCTTGAGGTTCACAGAAAGCTCCAGAGTATAGGAGGAAATCCAAGCCTACTCCTACATTGGTGATGAAAAGAGCTTGCTATTAAGCCTTAAATGTAGCTCCTGGAACAGCACCACTGAACCCAAGATCCTGCAAGAGCCATCAGAGAGATTTCCTGAACTGCCCCTGTAGGGATGGGGTCTCAGCGCAGCGGAAGGGGCTGTTCGGGTGGCCGCCCTCGTAGCAGCTACTGGAAGATGATGAAGGCCCAAACGGTCAGGAATGAGGACCTTGAACTGGTATGAGGACCACTGAAGTGGAGCATGACCACCAGGAATCGTTTGGATGCTCCTTGGTGTGGGCCACAGCAAGGCTACAGTGCCACTGAAGCAGGGCTGCAGCACAGGAGAAGCCCAAATGACCTGTAATGTAGGTAGGGACCAGCAGCGGTGACGTTTCATGAGCAGAGGCAGCAGCCTCGGCCACGCAAGGCCACTTGCTGGCTGGTCAGCTGGGCAGCCAGCAACACAGCAAACCAGGGCCAGTGCCAACCCTGGGAGGCCCCCAGGCAGCGAGCGCACCCACATCCCAAACGCAGGCTACGCTCCTGGTACGGATGCACCCGTGGAAGGGGCTCACAGTACCGCGTGCTGCAGAACTACAAGCAGCAGCACGCGGTTCTCTACAGCTCCATCCATGCATGCCCTCTTCTCCCACGAGCTTGCTACTGAGCCCCTGCTCCTTGCCTTGCCCTTGCCTGCCCTCCTCGCTGCCAGTGCTCGCTCCTGCTAAGCGAGCAGCAGGGCTGAGGCCCCACGCGCCCGCTGGAGGGTCAAGGCCCTGCGTGCTCATACTTACCGCCGACACGGGGCCACACCTGGCACCCCAGCCCTGCCTCACCTATTTAGGCCCTGCTCGTAAAGCCTGGGCAGAGGCACCAAGGCGAACACACAGCAACCGAGCGCTGCGCGCCAGGCCGACATCGCCAAGCTGTCGGTGCGGATCCGAGCTTCCCAACCGACTGTTAGTCAACATCAAGAGGCTGACGCGGCCACAACACCCAAAACGATGTGATGGTAACGGCAAGCCAGGCTCCTAAGCTACAGAAGGTCACACTTGTAAAATCAAATGGAAAGGTAATAGTAAGACTGCCCAGAAAAAAAAGAACAAAAAAATCCTTAATTATCACAGTTTTGAAAGGAAGGATAACAACTAGTTTGTTTTTTAAAATTAAGGTTAGCGTGGAAAGTGTTTTTAAACTGAGCTGAACGCTGTGCTTCTCTCAGTAACTTCCAGGGTTCAACTTACAGTGTCAGTATCAACATCTGTATTCCCACAAACTGTAATAAAAACCACAGTTCCCACTCAGTTATTGAGCAATATCCTATTCCAGAGAGATTCAGCAAGCTATACAGCACCATATACTATCTATAAATGCCTGCTTTAGCTTCTCACACTGCATAGCCAGACACTAACAACTCAAGCATGTTCTATCTACTGCATTAAGCCTAGAATAAAGCACACCACCCATTCCATTTCTAACTGTGCATGCAACTCAAAACACATCTTTAATTCTGTTCCAGTATTTAATTTTTCCATTATTTTTCTGCATTAGATTTGTTAACATTTTTCCCTTAGCTAATATTTGAGGATACCATCTTACAAACACCATCTGACAAGGGCAAGAAGCAGCCTATAACCAAGACACATCACAGGGTTGCACTGAAATGAGCCAGCTAAGGAATTGGGCTGTCCATAAGGGAGGAGCATCTCCCAGAGCCCTAGGCCACGTGCAGAGTGTCCCTGTGCAGCCATTTCGGAATTATTTCTAAGGACTCCTGCCTTGGACAACACCACAAAGGACAAATCAGCCCAACTGAACCTATTCTAAGCTTTGGTCAACAGAAGGCATGGGAAGCAGGTGATTTTGCACTCTTTCTCTTAAACTAAGTGCGTGCAATGCAGCTCCTGATTAAAGCTTGTAAAACAAGAGGATAAAAGCTAAGGTCTCACACCAGCAGCCACAACCAACCACCTCTTCAAACTCGGCCATCTCCAGGTGTTAGACTCCCAGTTTCTCAGTGCATCACCCCAAATTTATGCTGGTTTTCTCACAAGGTCTCTTTCTGCCTTTTTCTGAGGCATCGAAGTACCAAAAGGCATCAACCTTCTAACTACATCTTGTGTCTGAGGGACAATCCTCACTTCCCGGTGTACCTCTTAAAGTAAGATTAATTCATATACACACACACACAGAGTCTGCACTGTATGCAATATTTTATGGTCTTTTGGGATCTTTTCCTGCACAGCTAAGTAATATATGGACTTTTAACAAGTTATATCTTCAGATTTTGGCCAAACGAAGTAAAGTTCCAAGCTAAAACAAACCAGACAGCCAGCTTGGATTTCAAAGGGATTAAGGGGCAGTTATTTTTATAATGCATCGATATTAAGGACAATGAGACCCACCTTAAGGAGCTTTCAAGCATGCAAACAACTAATTCAGAAGCAAGGGGGAAAAAAAAGTAGCTGAGACTGAACCCTCACCTTTCTCTCAGAACACTGCAACTCACTTAAGCTGCCCTAACAGGCAGGCAACACTTTTATGAAGTGCTGGGGTTGCACACATTTATTAATAGCCTTTGCTCATGTATCATAGCACAAACATTTCAAAGTCCAGAAGTCAAAATTCAACTTACAACAATCAAATTATATTCCAGAGCAAGAGAACTATATGCATTTGCCCTCTTACTGAGCAATCGTAACTCCGAAACATAAAGCAAGCAACTTGTCTTGAATGCTCTTGTCCATGAAGAGCGTTCCCACTACGTGCTGCGAGCTCCCTGGTTTAACAGCGAAGATCAAACCCTCAAGAGGAACTTCAACTACTCAGCCTACTCACCACGTGCAATGTTATTCCTCAGCTCTCATCCAGAGGAGATCCCACCTACATTCCCCAGTTTAACCACTTGAAGGAACCTTTCAGAGGGTCAGTGCTCTCCAACGCCCGCATCCACCCCTGTGCTCACTATTATTGAGGACCATGTTATTTCACAGCACCTTCCACACCATGCAAAGCAGACCTAGGTTTTCTAATTTAGTTGTTACTGGACAGGAGGATTAGATGCTTGACCAGAACATTAATGTCACTTAGAAAACCACAGTAATAATTATGCTGCTAGTAATTCAAATTCTGCCCTTCTAATTCTGCCACTAGGACTGAAGTGATAAATGAGGATAAAAGCTGCTGGTGAAAACATACCCTATTTAAATATTTAAAAAAAATTGTTCTATACCTCTTGATATGTGGTAATGTGAAAAAAGGAAAATTAAGTTATTGTTTTCAGTCTAAATCCACAAGAACTCACCTCAGTGGTTTGCTACAAAGAACTCGTACCCACCTACCTAAATGGCAAGCCTACAGTGTAAGACATGAAGCAAAGAGTGGTCGGCACCCCGAGAAGGAAAGGAGAGGTCCTGCAGAAGCGACCGTGTTCTACAGGTATCAGCCTTCTCCACCTCTGCCTAGATGAACTAGGCTGACACTGCATATGTTTAACAACCACACAGAAACATATGCATATGTTTAAAAACCAACAGAAAATTGCCTTAAATATGCCTGCTTTATAGTAAACAAGTTTTATTATTATTATTATTACCGGTCCTCACTTCCTTTATTTCCCTTGCACTGTCTTTACACTGAGCATTTCTGTCACTATAGGCATCCTTGTTTCCCCTCTGCTATGGAGAACACTTAAGGGCCAGTTTGGCACTACCAAAGCTAAAAGATTAACTGCAGTGACTGCAACATTGCAGGCACTGAGGTTCCCTGCTTTACCATTTCACTTCAGGTCCTGATCCTCACCATTTCTCTAGTAATCCAGTGAACTGGGCCTTCCCTGAGCAGAGGACGGAAGATCGGCTTGGTGTTAGGCATGCAGGTAGGGAGCAGGTAAAAGATCAACCTTACTTAAACACAAGTGCTACTAAATCTAACACTTGAAAGACATGAATGCAGTATTCTGTAAAGAACACTTAATTTTGCACTTCTTTTAGTAAAAGGCAACAGTTCAGGTGGAGTTATATGACCTTCAGTAGCTTATATGAAGAGCTGGAAGAGAGACACTTGGGAGGGAGAGCTAAGAAGCAAGGCATGTTAAGGAGCGCTCATGCTGCAAAAAATCCCCGCAGGATCCATTAGTTGGAACCCCAATTTGTCCATTTATTTACCTTCTTATTAAGCCAGTGCCACAGCTTGTCAGTGGCAGGGGAAGATGGAAGAAGAGGGAAGAGACAAGAACACAGTGGAAAATTATTGAAGAATGCAGTAATAGAAGGGAAAAAAAAATGCAATGAAACACAGGTAAAGTCATCCACAGAATGAAAATGAAATTGTTCCAGACCCAACGATAAATTACAATAGGAAGATTACATTAACTTCTATTGCAACAATCTGGATTTCTCTACTAACATACATTTTTTTGAAACAAAGGGATATAATAAATAAGAACTTTATTATTATTAACAAAGATACCGGCATGGCTCAGGCAATTCTGATTTAATTATATTGAGATATAGTATTTCACATTTCATAGCCGTATTTGTAAGAGTACTTTGAGAAGGGCACATTACTGAAACACCCAGACATAATATGAGATACTTGTTTATTGCTGCTATTGAGGCAGCTTTACTTACATTTCTAACTCCCTTATTACATTAAACAAATTATGTTTTTAGTATCCTACTCATATGGCATTTAATGACACACTATGAGATACCAAATACATAATTAAGCCTGATAAATATGTACCAGTTGATTGCAGATAAAAGAATTATGTTATGCATAGGTTTCTATCGGCTGTCCAGATGGTTCTGTGCACTTCTCAACAGAAAATTATTTCCTGTTATAGTATAGTTATTTTCTTTACTAATTCTCACCCAAGCTACTCAACTACAGCCATTCAAAACCTGACTTTTTTAAATATGGTTACATTCTAATTTCAGCTTGCTCCTCAGGCTGAAATTAGCCTGATCATTAGCAGCGTGACTACAACACTGAAAATAACAGACATTAATATTTCTCTGCTTCAGAGGTTAAGATCAATTAACTGAAGTTTGTTCCTCCTTCAGCGAAGGTAAGATCATTAAACTCTTAATTATATCTAAGGTTTTCACCAATGACTGCAACTCATAGTAGCTCCCACTGAACAAAACCCAAGAACTTGACAAAGTAGCAGAAACAAGGTCAGGATCAGAAGCAAGAAGCAGGTTTACACAGGAACATGAACATCAGGAAGTTGAACATGAGACGCATCTCACATACAGATTCTCTATGTGCTTGTGTGGCCACAGGAAGAACAGCAGTGCAAAGCAATGGCAAAGCTTCAAAAGCCACGAGTGACACCGTGCATTTGATTCTATTTTATGCCTTCTCCTGGGAAATAATTTAAGAATGAAAAGAGGAAAAGTTGTTTGCACATTCAACAACATATCTTTGCCTTTCATCTGATTTTTGCATGTATCAGTATTAGAATCCACTTTAATTATGTTTATTTCGCAAAATAAAGTAGATTTCGTGCCTGTATCTCCACTCAGTAGCTATAACAACAGAAATTAAAGCTGCAATTCTAGCCTGGGCTACTGCTATGGCTGTGAAAGGAAGTTATTTTGGTGTTATATATTTCAGCATCCTGGGATTAAGTGAGGGAAAACAGCACTATAGCATAACAGGAAATGGCATTATACATCATAAACTAAAATCCAAGTGATTAAGGTGATTCTATAAATATGATCAATCTATCTTACTAAACAGGCTATGGCTTAATTCAAATATTTAGTTCAAAAATAAGACTACAGTCACTTTTCCATTATCTTGGAAGTTGGACTATACTTGGAAAACTACTTACACAAGAATTCACATGTCTAAGGCAGTATTCCCTGGGATAACAAATGCACCAGTGCAGATTCTGTCCATTTTCCATGGATTCTTTAATTACACACTAATCTTGGCACCAGAAGAACCAAACCTAAATTTTACCCAGGTCTCCATATATAAAATTCTAGTGTGCTGCATTACAAAGGAAGATAAATACATAATTCACCCAAGTCTCCCATATATCTTGGGACAACAAGCACAAACCTAATTAATAAAACTAGTGCATGGACTCATACCACTGGCTATGCTCTTGATCCACAGAGCAAGCTCTTATCAAAGACTAGGGTACCTATGTTAAAAGACAACAGAAAAACTATCAAAAAGGACGAGTAAAAAGTATTGTAGTGCTGGTGAGAATGTGCACCCTACTAGGTGTTTCAGTGACCACTTGGGTGAAAGAAGGGATCTTTCCCCAACACCTTCATTCAGGAAATCTCCCCTTTCTGCATTGCTCGGCCTGTAAGCTCCAGGGGTCAACAGCGCAGTCAGGGATGGGTGAATACGATGACAGTCCTGTATTTGCAGTCCATATTTAAACCAGGCCTGCACACTGAAGGAAATAAGAAAGCCCACTCTGCCTGTACTCCTCTTGACCAGAACTCCTCTTTAGTTGGTATTTGTTCTCATGACCAAGGAGACAACCAGAAACTGATGAGTATGGGAAAGATGAATAGAAGGGTGTTTTTTACTGCTTTTAATAGAAGAGACATGTTCTGTAAAGCTCAAAAACTTGCAAGCACATGCTTCATAGTTTCAAGTTTACAGTTTCATAGTTTAAGTCCACAATTCCTGGTCACCTACACTAGCATCCTAGTTTTTTTTTTTTTTTTTTTTTTTTTTTTTTTTAATGCCAGGCTCAATGTAATGCTATTTCCTGTATGGGAAGTGCAACTTATTCACACATTTACTACATCTTTTGGTGGCTTTTTTTTTCTTTTCTTTTTTTTTTTTTTTTAAAAAGAGAAAACAACATGCTGCTGCAAGCTGTTTCCCTCCTCTCACCACCCTTGCTCTCAGCAGTGCAACTGTTTCTCACCAGCAGGCATGGCCCTTACTCCACTGTATGGAGAGCACCACTGCATGTTCACAGCAGACACATCTTGCCAACAGCTTGTGGGGCTGAGCCAAGAGCCCTGACACCCAGATTCAGTCTCCTCCTCAGCTCAGGACACACGCACACCTCAGGACACTGCTCTCGGGAGAGGAAAGTACTGCAACTCAAGTAGCCCTCCCTTCCTCCTAATATGGGGCCCAGGGCTAGGGCAACTGCTCGCGAGGCTGAGTCTCCCCCGCACTTTCAGGGTGCAGAGACACCAGCTCTCAACTCCTTGCAAGGCTGCGGAGCCCCTGCATACTCAGGGTGAAGCAGCATTACAGTAATTTCTAATTTTTATTTAATTTGATTTTAGATTTTATTCCTGTTTCTTTTTCTGGGGCAAGCAGTGTCCTCCACTTAGCTGTGCTCACTGCTCCTTTCTGTTTCCCAGCTGGTGAGCCGATTCCTTTAACAGTCGCAGCAGGTAATAGTGGATGCTGTGATCACAAAGATCTTGCACTGATGAGCAAAACCCAGCAGCTAAAGCCCCGTGGTTCGTGCCCCTCTGGATTATTTTGCTGTCTCTTTTAATGACAGAGTGACACTGACCTCCAATACCTTTAAGCTGACTGGTGCACGAAAGGACAAAACTTCAGCTTCTTCAATGAAAAAAGACTAAGTGGGCTTGGCAAGGATGTTATGAGAAGATACTATACTTGACAACTCTAGCTCTTAGAATACCATGTCTAAAGATTCTTTTTACTCCCTATATAAAACCTGTTAACAAAAAGCTTTTATCTCTGTAAGTTTCTCTGAGATGTTTGTCTTCTCCACTATCTTTAGATGATCCTTTCAAATTATTTATATCTACATATTCAGAAGCTTTTCCTTTTTCAAATTCCTCCACAAGGAATTGTGTGAGCTGTCAATTATCTCCCACTGGCATTTTAATGTCTTTTTTGTCGTCATCCTCCTTGCACTTTTTTTTTTTTTTTTCCACATCCATTGATTCTTTGTAAGATCTGTTCTTCAGATCTTCCTTTTCTTGGACTTTAGAATTCTAACTTGCACACAGATTTAACTTGTTAGTGCTAACGCTCTAACAAGTACAGGGTCCAGGCCCCAGGTTAGGGAAACTCCAAGCTATCAGTTTTTTGCAAAGTGAAAATTACTTGGACAGCACCATTACACTGCATTTTTGTACACTGGCAAAACTCTTACAAATAAAATAATCTATCAGGTTACACAAAAATTAAAAGAGGTTCATAACTGTTTATAATGCATGGGTGCAATGCAAGTGGTGGGGGCAGGGGGAAGAGCAAACAAGGCTTTTCCTATAGCACTTCTCAAATATCTTACCTCACATTTCTTTTTAGACAGGGAAGCCAGAAGATGTCTTTTGTACCACTAAGCCACTGTGTTCAACAACTATTTCCATAGAGTCTAAACAAATATAGTTGAACTAGCTCAAGTCCTACTTGCAGAATGACAGATTGCTTTTTAGTAAGTTTACACAATGGAAGGAAGAACATTTCACCCTTCATATTCCAGCTGATAAAGTTTAACTTCAATATCTTTGTAATCAGATAAGGTAGTTGAACTACACAAAGTTTCCCACAACCAGGTAAGTTGAGGTCAATCTAAATTTTTAACAGCGACTTATCAAGCTTTGCACATAATTATGTAACAGTTTAAATGTTTACCTTAGTGGGAACACTGACAAAAAAGAGATGGTGTAAAAATATACCATAAGACAGATACTTTTACATGAGAGACATGTCCATTAGTGGCAGACACTTATTTTAGAGTAAAAGCATTTCAAAACACAGCTAGCAAAAAATAAACTTTCAGGTTACTTAAGAAACTAAGCAGAAATACCTTACTGTCAAGTTTGAGCATGACTCTTCCAAGCCCTCTAATGGGCCGTGGCGCAAGAGCTTCCTGACGCTCCATCACAAACTTTTCCACAAGTTGCCACCAACTACTGCAACGGTTTGCCATGAAGTTCAAAACTCCAAAATGGACCACAAGTTTCTTGAGTGCCCAAACTATAAAGAAAAGAAAGGAAGAATGTACTGGAGATTTCAGCTTAGTGTAACAGCACACATCTATTCAGGTTGGAAAGACCTATTAAAGGAAAAGAAAAAAAATATTTTGCATCAGAAGTCATTTTCACCTTTTTGAAGTAGTTTTAGCATTAATCTCCACATTCACTTTAGAAATATGATTACAGACTTGAAATTTAAAATGCACCAGAAGAGAAGCGCCTGCACACTGCACAATCACCCAACTGCCTGACTTCAGCAAGGCCAGTGTGGTTCTATCACATGCTTGCCCCTAATTTGCCACAAGCTTACGCACAGATTCAGAACTTAGAAGTATCTTGAACATAAACCAAACTTGTCTCAAGTGTTAAGCTTTCCATATCGTACAAGTTGTATCTTTCTTTTAAGGACCGACAGCAGATCATGCATGTAACACGTGCATTAGAGAAGTACTCACATCTAAGTACAAGTAGCGCTTTATTTTGCTTTTAAGCATCTAAAATTATTTTATTGACACCAGTTTTATCCGAGCTTGAGATGATCATAGAAAGTGTCAAAAACATCTGTATTGTTCCTTAAGACTAGATACCTGAAGCAATACACTGATGATTTTTTTTTTCCTTGTAAGAAACATTTTGCTACAAAAAAGTTTTTCCTCAATACTCCTAAGATACATCCACTATAAGTTAATGAAAGAGCCCTTAACAACACCGAAACAATACAACATTACAATTACAAAAGTAAAAGCTGATGTCTATATGAAATATAGTCCAGAGACTTTTGGATAACACTTACTAAACATGAACTTTCCTTTGACACTGTCTTTAACAGTCATGAAAAGTCTGGCATATTCCTTTTTTATTTAACAACATGTTATCACTTAAGTTATTCAGATTCATCATTGAAAATAAAAAAAAAAACAACTTAATTCCCCCAAAAGCAGTTACTCTTCCAAAACCACTAAGACTACAAGTATAACATAAAAACTGAATAGTTCATTAATTCACACTATAAAGACTTATACTACTGATGACTTTGATGGGATATTGATGAAAATATACCACATAAGAAAACATAATTGTGATCCTTTATGTTGATATTCTTTAATTTTTATATTTAGCAGTAACAAATCCAAAGGTTTCATGACTCAGTTGATACGAGTAATTGATTTATAAATCTCTAAATCAAATAGTTTCTCATCCCTAAACACCAAAAATATTACTCTAAATGAAATCAAAATGAAGCAATGAGCAAGAGAATCATAGTCAGATCATTTCTTCCATCAGTTTTTTTTCTTTAAAGAGTTCAGTAAAATTGCCACATGTGGATCAACTGTTATAGATGAGGTTAAAATTCTACTTATACATTAAATTATGTTCTGTGGAAAGACTGTGCAACTGAATGTCTAATTAAGTTCAAGTAAGCTTTTAAAAAAGTTTTTTTTACTACATGAGTATTCTCCAAACCAGCTGCATTACTTATTGCTACACAGCACCAGCCCAACAGCCCTCCCATGCCCCACATTCACATCGTGCTTCCATCTATGGATATAGAGAGCCCCACATGCACAACACTGCATTTATCGAGGTGCAACAAAAGCCTATCATCTCTAAGTCCCGTCTGCAACAGCCCATGTTCTTGTCTGTTGAGGGCTCATTTAAGTTCGCAGAGATTTGGTTTACCTGCCTTTGGCACCACCCCGTGGTAAGTAGGAAGTATTCCCTTAAAAAGTATGTATGTACTTTAATAATCTAATTATGATTGCTTAACATACAGAAAAGAGTAAGAGAGCCTGCATTTAACTTGCAGGTTGAAGCTCTGCATGCTGGAAGGTGATGACAGTAAATGCATCAACTGATGCTCATCAAAACAGAGCAAGTTTGCATTTTACAAGAAGCAATATAAATGAAAAGGCATTATAACCTTCTGTTATTTAAATAACCTGCTCTGGAATAACTCAGCGTACCATCACTGCAAAGGCAATAACAAGGTGTTTTACTGCTGTCATTATGGTAGGTTAAAACACAAGTAAGAAAACTAGAGGAGGTATGAGAAAAATAGGAACAAAAGTATAGAAACAAGGCAAAAAAACCTAAACATTTGCCAGGAGCAGAAAACGATCTGAAAAGAAAACAGAATTTTAAATAAAGCAAGCACATAAAAACTAAAAAGTTCTTCACTTTTGTCCCTATTTATTTACGGAAGTACTGTTCTTCATCCTCTACATAAAACAACTTTTGAAGAGCATCTCATTTTACTTAAGTAAAAGACAAAAGTATTCATGCTAGTAAGGTTTTTTTTTACGATAATCTAAATGCTACTTCATGTAATAGTCATGTCTATCATAAGAAACTCCAAAAAAACTCTCAAACTGAAGAGGGCTGATTTCTCCTTTTTTTTCCCTTTTATGTTCTAGAAGTATTTTCTTTTATAACTCTATGTGTTTAGATTTGTGTCTAAGTGTCTAAGACTAATGTCTTAGACTTGAAAAGCTGCAAGGAAACCTCTGCTTTATGAGACTACTGTCCACTACTACATTATTCTTAATACTTCCTTTTTAACAGTCCAGGTTATGCTCAAAGACTCCTTGCATAACAACACGTCCCCTTCATAAGGGTTTTGTGGAGAATTGGCTGCACTCACCAGTTTTATGGCAAGAACAAGCAGGTAACAGCCCGGTCTCACAGCTGAGGCAATAAATTACAAATATTCCCAGATTAACTTCTGTTTTGGCTTGATCTTCTTGTGTAGGCACTTCTAGGCACTGGCTGCAGCAGATAATCCACAGAAGCCTTCAGAAAGTCACTTCAGGAGTGGCTGCCTAGACATGCCTGGCTCAAACGTAAAACTGTAGCCTGTTGTGTGCCAAACCCTAGAGCCTACTGCACCCCTTTTACCTCCCACCGGACGTAGGCATTTCTCAACAATCATTCCTTGAATAATTTTAAACATTCAAACTCAGCTTCTTATAGCTCTAAAACACATTTTCTAACCTCCTGATCATTTTTATGGCTTTCTTATGAGCTCTGTCCAATCTGTCATTATCTCCCATGATGGCCAGTCATCAAAACTGGGCAGAGCGCTGCAGTAGCAGCTGCACTATTAGGAAATAAAGGAATTGAAATCTTCTTTCTCCTCTTAACATACTCAGCTATTTGAATGTCCAATGATAAAATTCCCTTCTAGCCTTTACTACGGTGCCACAGCCAAACACACAGCTGTTTCTTTCACAGTGTTTCTCAGAGTTCTTGGCCCTACATTTGATTTCCAGCTGCTCAATTAGACAGTTATAATGGCTTAGTAAAAGGGATAATAGTTATATTTGTGTTCAATAAATTGAAAACAGTGTTTTAAGTTTAAATGAAGTCTAACAAAATAGGCAACATTCTCTGTTTACAGAAACAAAAAAAAAAAAACAACAAAGGCAGGCCTCAGATTCATTAGTGCACACACCTATTTCTTGTGCTCCCTCTTCCCTTTTCTCTCTCTTTCTCTCTCTATTCCACTCCTGCCAAAAGTTACTGAAATAATTGGCAAGCAGTTTTAAAACAACCTCTTCAGATAACCATCAAAAACATGTCACTATCGCTTTACAGATAAGAGATGCATGTAGATGTGAAGTAACAAAGCCAAGCCACCCCAGATAATTTACCCAAGCCACCTCAGAGAACTCCACTTCTGATTGTCTGCAGAACCTGGTAAGTCGTTTTTAATGGGAATGAAAACACAGCATGCCCTGGACTTGAAAGTGAGTAACAGCATGCCTTAGCTGTGGACGCAGAAGATGACACCAAGAGGAAGAAAAATGAAGTGCTCCAAAAGTATTGCCAAAATGTAAGGTAAGTATTCCAAATAACACAGGTAATAGTGATAGTCCATCTACAGACAAAGCACTTCTAAAATGAGCAAGTGGGCCTGGGCCCATATGAAGCAGGAGGCTGCACTTGAAACTGAACTTATTTGAAACTGTAATTGGTCAAGGACTTTATAACCACATAGAAAGACTTAGCTTGTGACAGTCACTTCATTAAATCCATGTCTTTCAAAACAAGAAATCTTGAGAAAGTAAAAAGAATTCATACAAGCCTATAACAGAAACAAGATTTTTATCTACACTTAATTCAAAGTCTAAGGCTATCCAAAGCCATCACTTAATACACATTCATAGGAACTGTATTACCTGCAAAAGGCACTGGCAATAGTTGCACAATCCAGAGATTTAGCCAGATCTGCACAATGACAATGGCCCAGACAAGTGTAACAAAGTAAATATCACTCGTCTTCTTTCTTCGAAGAAGAGCTCCAATCTCAGGCCTTTGCCTGCTCCCAGAAGATGACGAAGACGAGAAAGATGATGAAGTATGCGCAGGCTGATCCCCTTCTGTTGTTTCTAAAAGAAACAAACAAAAATATAAATGACAGTGGAACAGGTGGGAGTTATCATACCAAACAGAATATGCTCCTTAGCAGCATTTTAACTTACATTCATAGTAGTATCTAAAGGTAGTACTACTAGGTAGTACCCTCTAAAGGGCAGAGTAGCCTTGGCAAGAACCTGAATTTTGAAAAAACTAGAACAGGTCTGTGCAAGCTCTCCTACATCACACACTGCCACAGCAGGCAGGGCTAACAGGAGAAGGAGGAAGAAGGGATGCTGCATTCTTAGAGGCCTCCTCCTCAGGAGGCCTGTCAGAATTAGAGGAACTACATACACTTTATCAAGCAATCTTATCTCAGAAAGCTAGAGCAGATTTCATTTTCAAAAGCAGTGTGAAGCGTGTTGATTTCTCTTCAATTTAAGGTCTCAAACATGCTCAGATCTCATTTAAAGAGGGAAAAAAAAAGACTGTTTGAAGGGGATGCTCCCATCTCATTTTCTTAGTATACTCCTTCTGTTCCTCAACACTTACACTGCAAATGCAGCATTCACACTGTGATCTTAAATTACTTGTTAGATTAACCTAACTCAGTAACAACAGCAAGTCTAAGTAAATTGCTGACCAAAGCTCTTGTTCTCTCATTTACAACTTAGAAAAGATGAAGTTTAAATCAAAAATGAGACTGTATAGGCTTAAAAAAATAAAGGCACTAACAGGGTTTAGCAAATGGTGGTTTCCAGCAAAACAAAAATGTCCAGTATAAGGTTCCTGTCTACAGAATCTGAGTAAATTTTTTTTTTTTAAATTTGGTTTGCAAATCTACCTAGTATCAGCTTCATATGGATAAGCTTTGTATGCTATTGCACCAGTAACTCATCCATGCAAGTGAGGGACATGGACTCCCGGTATCTTGATTTAGAGTAGCTCCAGGTCCTGTTGGATACCACTATTGGAAATCACTATTGGAAGCCCAAGACAGCAAACAGCCCAGGAAGCTCGTGGATCCATGGAAGGAAACTTCCTATGGCAGATGGTAAGTGAGTCCAGCAGGACAGGAGCCCCACTGGAGCTGCTCTTTGCCAACAGAGGCGGCCTGCACCTCACCAGGCAGCCCACTTATATCTTGTTAGTGCAAACAAATCAAGGGCAAATAAAAACAAGAAAGAGGGAAAGTTGTCCTCACTACCAAAAACAAGCAAGCAAAACAAAACAAACACAAGACGACACAGCCACAAACTTCTAGTCAGGCCTCCTGTACGAAAGAGAGCTTCTATATGATTGTTCTTTCACTATTTTTAAACCAGGTACATTGGATAAGTGTAACACATTATTCTGGAAAAGGAGGAGAGGGGCTATTTTGAAATATGTTCTTATTTCCCTCTTATTCAAGCCTTTAGAACAAATTCAAATGTTTTCTTACAGAGTATTCAGTCACCTGAGGGTTGTGAGGAAGGTTTATTGGATTCATCTTCCGTAATTGATATGGCCATGGCAATTGTTGAAGCAGCAATGGAAATCATCTGACCAGGAAGTTCTGCCCCTGCAAAACATACTTGTGTATATAAAGAAAGAACAACCCAGGCCTTAGAACATGCATTTGTTGCTTGATAGTCACTGAAGTGGTTAAGCAATACAAAAGTTATAGATATATATTGTTAGTTTTTAAGTAAGCCTTCCTACATAGTCAACATGTTTGAATGGCCACAAATGCTACTAGTTTTCGCATTACAGTGTCAGCACATAAATACAGTACCTCAGCCTCTCCTTGCTAGTGAACTGTCACTGATATTTGTCACTCACAGTCTGGTTAATTCACAGTCTCTGTACCTGGTGATCAGTTTCACTAACCAAGACTGTGAGACCTTTCAAAAGCACCAAAATAGCATGATAGGAAGAAAGCTCCCGAAAAATCACAATAAAAGTAGTAACAGAAAGGAAGCCGTGGGGTTGTTTTCATACAAACCCCATTCACAACAGAAGAAAGCTAGTTTTATCCAAGCCCAAGTTCTTAACTTGAAGAAATTTGCATTCTAACCACACATAATTACGTAACAAATTTACTGGGTGGATGAAGCAAACTAAGTTCTCTCATACTCAATATTTTAGGAGCTATTAAATCCGTACTGCTTATTTCTTTCAAAATTAGACTAATTCCTAATTCCTAATTCCTGGACGTTCTTCATGCTTGAAAACAGGCACAAGGTTCCCTAAACATAACCATATAATCAAAACATATTTTAAACTTGGTAGTTGAGAGAGTCACTATTCTATGGAAACCAAGCAGTTTATTCCAAAGATTTTTCTATAACGAGCCAAAGATTCATTTCAGCATGCAAAATACACTTCGGAAGAAAAAGCCTAAAAGTTCTTACAGCAAATTCTTGCTATCTGTATGAGATTACATTACAATAATATAGTTCAGATGACTTCACCTCACTTTTGCTCCTATAATAAAATATACCTCATTTCTTACCAGAAGACTCCTTTCCGCTCTGCTGTTCATGCAACGTGCCTACAGTCATCAGAACAACTATAACCAGAAACACAGGAATTCTCCAGGAACCAGCCACAGAAGCTGAAAAAAAAAAAAAAAAAAAAAAACCCAACTTTTTTCAATAAAAAATGCCACTAAAATTATCTAGCAGAACTGAGAGACACACTACCTCAGCCAAGAGGTAGGCAAAAACTAACAAGTTTGTTGAAATAAACAAGTTTCCTACATTCACAGAAGGGATGAGGTGAAAAAACAAGGGGTGAACAACTATCTTGGCAAATAAACAACATTGTTACGTCTTCGGTGACTTTGACCATGTTGACATACCACACAGTCTTTAAAAAACACATGCAAAATTATATTAAGCTCTACATAAAAACATTTTAGAAAATCAGAAGCATGTCAAACCACAAAAAAAAAAAGAGATTTAAATTAGATCTCTACAGAGTTCTATCAAGTGTAGCCTTGTTTGGGACTTTTCAGCTATTGCTTCAAGCCAATGTTAGACTGAAAATGTGAGCAAAGGCAAAGCCACTATGTGCAGCCTAAAGCTTCGGAGAAGAGCCCACGTGTGCTTAGAACAACTCTTGCAAGCTACTGCTAAAGCAAAAATAAAGCACTACGTAAGCTCAGAAATTTTCCACTGTATCTGACTTATTTGCATCACCAATGGGAAATCCAATGGAACTTTGACTTTGATAATCTAATGTTTAGATTAAATGCAAGAAAATTAATACTAGAAAGTCAGTGGAACCTTATATTTGTACAGAGAAAACAAAGACTAGCAGTAAACTTACTTAATAGTGTTAGTATCATCATATTGACATTTTATTTTTATTTTGCTCCTACTACTACTATTAAATGCACTTCAATGCACAGTTTCAGCCTTGTTAGTGACAGGTTCTCCAAGTATTTATGAGAAAGTTTAAAATCCCTCCCATGTGACCTCTGTCCTTCCCCTCCAACCAGCTGATGAGAGATCTGCTACTGCCAGTGTAAAATAAAATGAAATCACAGAAAGTGTCAAGTGAGTGACAGAAGTGGAAGGCAGATGCTGCTGCTCAGATTCTTGCTGCCCTTCCCAACCCATGTTCCAACACTTCCATCTTACCAGCTTCCTACCAACAGCATTTACTGCTGCATAACGAAGAAGAAATCTCTGCTGGCCACACGCAGACTGAGTTACTGAGCAGAAAAACAGCTTGCACCTCAGCTGAGACTCCACTAGAATAATTTAGAAAAAGAGCCACTGCGTGGCTTTGCTTGCAGGATGACAGAATCACAGCAGATACAAGGGCACTGCCGCTCATGAACACCAACAATGTTACTCACCTAGGTGGAAGAGCAGCATAATCCACATGGGTACCGAGATGGCTTTCAAGTAACGCTCCGTGCTTAGATTCCACTTAAAGGAAATCATCAACAGGTAACCAACAACCAAGGTCCAGATCTGAAAGAAAAGGATATCTGTGGGTATGTACACATTCACACAGGTATATGTATGCATTTATTTGTTATTACACATACCCCTTTCTGCCATAGAGAAGTAAAGTCAGGTTATAGTTCAGGTTGTGAGTGACTTTGCCATGCACTTTTACCAAGTATCTAAGTGAAAACACTCATATAAAAAGACTACTGCTTGCTGTGCCAGCAAATAAGAGACTGATGCAGTCATCTTGTTTTGCTGCTTGCAACTGTCTTCTTCAGGTCTACTCACTAGGCAGCTAACAACAGAGACAGCCACGTAGGAAGCTCTAGCTAACAAGTTTCAGCCTGACAATAAAAAGTCCCTGCTAAGCAAAGACGTGAAATAACAAACATGAAAACCTGTTAAAAAAAATCAGCATTACATTCAAAGAAATATTTGATGTTTCAGACCCAAATTCATCAAATACTCCCTATCCTAACCAGGACACCTATTGTTCATCCATAAATCCCTGTGAATTGTAAACAGAACTTTTATTAACAGCTTTTGCTAAAGGAGAACGAGCTGAAAGAGACAAAAACCCGGCTGACCACAGAGACCTATCGTTCCCCTCTGCTTCTGCTCTCACTCATGCCAAGGAAGCTCAATCTCCATGAAAAGCAGTTTGTGTCACTGTCATTCACCTACTTGCTCTGCAGGAAATGGTAATTGCACTAAATTCAACAGATAAGCATAAACCCATCCTGTTCACTTTGGAGGGACCAGGATTTCACTCCATCTCGTTCAATTAAAAATCCCCTAGGAAGTCAGAACAAATCTACTGTCCTTTCATACTCATCTTTTCCATCAGAGGTGATCAATCCAACTTTTGTTTTCTTTTCCTAATTACATATGAACACAACAGTGCAAAGCTTACAAACAACAGGAACAAAAAAAAACATCTTCAAGGCAAATATCTGAAATGAAACTCTTGGATATTATGTTCAAATTCGAACATTAAATTTTGATTTCTAGCACTGTGCAGCATTCATTTAACAGCACAGGCACAACTATACTCACAATAAACGTTTCAGCCCAAATGCAAATAAAGGATAATTCAATAGCAAGAAAGGTACTAAGCTCTTCTCTATCCTCTTTTCATGAGGTCTATTCCAGCATCAAATGCATTTTCAGCCTTTAAGACTCATGATAAATTACAAACAACAAGCTCTGTTAATAGGTCAGAGTTCAGCTTCCCAATTAAAAAACATGCCAAGAGTAAGAGGTTAATAGTGCAGAAATCTGGGTTAAAAGCCAACGTAAACTGCTCTCCACTGTTTTTATCCGTTGAACTAAAACGAAGTCACAGAACCGCAGAGCTGAAGTATTCAGTAATTACTCCTGTTGCAAGTTACAACAATTCCACAGTTCTCTCCAAGCTCAGCAAAGGACAGGAAGTAAAAGCATTTCTTACTTCAATTAACTACAGAGAGAAACAGTTATTTTAAAACAGATGAGTCACCCACATTGTTTCAGAAACCAAACCAAAACAACACTCAGCCTTGCACACATCCAGTCACTCGGTGCAAAAGGTTTGATTTCAACGTCCAAGGATGAATCAATCTATTACCAGTTAATGTTACGGTCAAGCACTTGTGAGGTATGAGGAGCACTGCCCTACGTGGCAAGAAATCCCCTCCAAGAGAACTAGGCCAGGCTACTTCAGCTCAGGCAGCCTCCCACCAAACAAGCTGTAGCTGAAAACAGCTGGTAAAACAAAGTGCTTTGATTGACAGGGCTTGGGTTTTATCCCATACTAACTTGGCAACCTCCTGCTCCATTTCAAACACATCCTATGCAACATTTCTCACTATTTTGCTGAGCGCTTTCCAAGTACTTACATGCAAGCGAGTGCGCACGCACCCCCGCACGCGTAAGCACAAGTCAGCTGCAGATGCCAAAGGTTCACGACTTCATCGACGACTTTCAAACACCTTTTCTATCTCGTTAACTCTACTGGCATGCGCTATCCCCCACACATGAGAATTTTAGGTGCCTTGTTAGAGGGTGTCATTCTTCTTCCTTCCTTCACTTAGTTTCATTGACCAAATGGCAAAGCTCTCATTTCTCCTAACTGCCTTGCACCTCTGTACCCCGACAGCAATTTGAAAAAGATGTTTTTCTTTAGGTACAAACAGTAGTAACACCAGCCCCACTCCCCCCCCCCCAAAAAAAAACCACCAAACACACACACCAAAAAAAAAAAAAAAAAAAAAAACACCCAAACAAACAAAAAAACCCCACCCCACCACCCTGTTTTTTTCTCCTAAAAACAGCTGTAACACTGCAGTAAAATTCCTTGGATTTCAGTATCCACTTTGGGCTACAGAGATCATTTTAAAAAGCCGAGCTGGAGATGTCTATGCAAGTCCAACAGCTTTCAGTTCTCTTTAAATTGCCTCTTGTCAACTGAGGGCAAAAATGATGCCATAAACGCCTGTTACCTTTACGTTAAATTCAAGAATCTGCTTCAGTCTTTTGAATATGCTAATAAATACTGGAATATCACCTTAATTACTAGTTCTATGTGCTGGAAAGTCTAGATTTATCAGTAAAACCTTTTCTGGTATTCCTGAAAGCCCATTTTCTGTTACACTTACCACTAGGCATATTCTAAAGCCCGAAAGTCTAAAAAACACTTTAAGTTTTGGCATCACATTTCAATGAGAAGGGATTTCTCTCTTACTACTCAACTCCTAACAGCACTTATATTGATTTTTATTGAAGAGTAAAACTCTTCCATCACACAGTTCACCCACTTCCTTCTTTTCCTAAAAGCATTACTATTTTTTTTCCCAAGCTGCTTCTCCTCTTGGACTCTGGATCCAATTTGAAAGGTTTCACATGCATCAGTCTGCTTAAGGCTGCAACAAAAAAATCACACCACAGAAGTCTCACCACTTCTCTAACATTTTAAAATAAGGTTTTCGCTCACAGATGTTGATTTTAAAGTCTCCCCTCCCCTTAAATGGGGAAAGCCTTTCAAGAGCAGTATTCCCATAACATTGCTCCCAGGTTGCCTTACACCTCACACACTGACACACAAGTTTAGTGACTGGGTATCCTATGGTTCCCTCCCTGTTGTTCTCATCCAACAGTTTTAGATGCATTTGCCATTACGAACATCATAGGGGTTTCTTCATCTGTCTGGCTCATTTGAAAATGGTTTTCTAATGAAGAAAAGTTAATAGAAAGCAAGTGCAGAATCATGAAAATGCCAATTTGACTCACTTTCAAAACCAAAACTAATTCCATTTGGCTTTACTGCATATTCCACAGGACATGGCAGGCAGCCTTCCACAGCACGGGGCTTCCGCAGAATGAAGCCTGTGCCACTGCCCTTCGCTCAGTATGGAAAGGGTCTTCACTGGGCAGGTGCAACACCACAAACCAACCAACCCAACAAATAACGCTATGTCCCACCTCAGAGCAACCTCAAACAACCCCTCTTACCCTGCACTAAAAAGATCGTTATTTGTTGAAGCTGGAAAATGACACCTTGAACTTAACTGAGCACAAAAAGCACAAGTACATCGGACTAACTGGCCTACTTGCTGACAAAGAAGTAAAACAGTCAATTGGTTAGGTTCCTTTTAGATCCTCCAACTTATATATATTTATATATATAAATTATATAATAAATTTATAATTTATTATAAATATATATTTATATATTCTAGGTTTACCTAAAACTACTTAGCTAAATAAAATGGAAACCTGGCATCCAGCCTGCTGCTCAGTTCCAAATGATGAATTTATGGTTATAATCCTGGCAGACAAGATTGACGTATCAAAATGAACACTGTTACAGTGATTAAAAGCATTTTCAGAGAGTACTGCAACATTTCTTATGCTGCAAATTTAAGATAATCCACTAGCTAATTTATTCTGGTATCTGCAGATATGTTTTTTTAAAGGGCTTCTTCTACAGCTCATTTGTGCTGTTTTAATAAATAAGTTATTTGTGAGAATATCCACTAAAAAACTTCTCAGAAATCAAGTTTCTCAAAATTGACTCGTGTGAAGAGGTTTCTCAAAAAGTATCCACCTGTTAGAACCTCCTCTGAGGGCAGGTTATCACTCTTAGGACAAGCTTTGCAATACCGCTTTCACAGGAGCTGCCTCCTTTATAGGAGCAGCTCCATCTTTACGTTTTGCTATATAGAGCATAGTTAACATTTTGCTGGACAGTTCCACACTGATCATTCCTTTCAGAGGTCGAAGTAGAGGAAATAATTCCCTTCCCGTCTTTAAGGAGACCCCACGAGGCCTCCACAAAGGTCACCTCCACCAGGTTTGTGACAACAAAACGAAGACATTTTGAAAAGCCATCTTTAGAGCCTAGGTTCTGACAGCACCTAGATGCTTCTCATGTCTCAGAAGGTTCAGTGGTGCTATGGCAGCCAAGCCTCCCTGGATACCTGCAACCCAAAGCACACTCGAGGAGAAGATGCTTTGAAGAGGTTACTTTAGGGACTCCTGGAATCTAAGGCCAGGGTGAGCACTTTTCTTTGGCAAAGGGCTTCAATAGTCTCTCTGACAAGACAGGGGGGACCACAAAACACGGGACCCCCCTTAAACATGGAACCACCAAGCTACCTAACACTTTGATGACAACCCGGTGTCATGCTCATGGCAGGTGGCATCCCCAGATTTTTACATCATTCTAGCGAGGAAAGTACTGAGTAGGACCTTTAATTGCTAGCAAACCACTAGAACAGAAGGCGTCACACCTAGCACAGTCGCAGATACGGTCTGGCACACTGTTTCACAGAAGCCCCTCATTCCACATGGAGGGGAGCAAAACAAAGTCAGCACACACAGTTCTGACCTTGAGTAACAGTTCTGACAATCTCTTACCTCTTCTCTAAACAAATCTAAACACATGACCCCTCCTGACAAATGAATTGCAGCCAATAGCTGGCATCTCCTGTGTATTACTCTAGCTGTAAAGTGTCAGGCTGAAGTAGTTTGAAAAGTTGCTGCAAAGCAGAAGAATTTCCATTACATTAAGTATGATAGATAGAAGTATGCTTCAAACAAGCCTAGGAATCCACAGATCAGTCTTCAGAAGATATGCAAGAACCACCACGTTAAAGCTGCTATAGAACATAAACATATTCAGTATTCCAGTCTCCTATCAGACAAACATCCCACTTTTCAGCAAAAGAACACTTGTTCTTCAAATGTAGGATTATGCCATTCTCTCTCAAAGGGGTCAGTCCCCGAGATATCAAGGATTCCTATTTCAAATTCAAGCGTGACTTAAAAAACAGAAAGGACTGTAGTGCTGCCTGACTCCTCCTCAGTAGCACTGGGAACAGCTTCCCCAGATTTGGGGACAATGGCACCAGAAAGCTCCAGCATGCTAGGTCAAGAGGTAGTTTCCTAAATCAGAATCACATGCAATCCCTGCAGTTAGAGAACATTTTGTGCACTTGCATTGGAAGCAAAATTAAAAACTGCCCTAGTATCACAGTACCAGTAGATATCACACATATATTTTCAGGGAACACCAAACTGGTACCAAAAAAGTTACTGACAACAGTAATGGTTCTTGGTCAAACTCTCCAAGCCATCTCTCCCTTCCTTAGGGCAGCAGAGGTCAGCAGAAAGGGAGAAGATAAAATGCACATCACCTTGCTTCCTGCAAGCAACAAGTGCATCCAGGTGGCACAAGTACAAAGACCAAACACGCGCTCAGTAAAAACAAATGTCTTTCTTTTAAACCTGTGCAGCCAGGACAGAACTGTGGGTGGCTGGGGACTGGCATCTGTAGTTCACAAGATGAATACTACTTTGAACAACTGCTCTGTGCTAGGCTCTGTGCTGCCCTCACACTTGTCACAAAACACTGTGCTGCAGGACCCATTTGCTTGCCTCTGCGTCTTTAACGAATGAGTTACATGTCACCTTCTTGGCAAGAAGGTACTATTTCACGTATACAATAGGAACTTATGGTGTTTATGTAAATTAATTTATTCTAGATGAAGATATTTCAAAACACAAATCCAAAATGCCTTAATGGCCTACTATAAGAAACAGTGCAAGAAATTAGGTTACTGTAACTTTTGCTTATCACATTAAAGCACCTATATGTTAATGTAGTTCTTATTTTTATGTAAGAGACATTCAGAAGGAACCATGGAAGATTCAGATGCCAGGAAAAGGACAGTAAAATGGAGTAAACAGATCTGTAATATTCAAAATTCCTGTGCAGAGGATAGCAAGAAAACGGTACACATGCCCAGTCCCCGCAATATTACATGGAAATAAAATGGCTTAAAAACACTTAGCCAAAGTTAAAGCAGATACTATTAACTAATCCAGCTCAAGGCTTCTCAGCAGGGTAGGTAAAATTAAGTTACCCTGTTCAAGATATGCAGCCTGAAACCAGCTCTAAACTAAAAGGAATGAAGGAACAGCAAGGTTCAAACATGCCTGGACCAGGGAAACACTGCAAGGTTTAGAGATATTGCCAGGCTGAGCAAAGTTATTTACAAGGAAAAGTCCACAGAGTTTTTTCCCCACAAGAAGATTTAGGCAGCCTGATAGGAGCTTCTAAAGCAAACCTGTTGCAGTAAAGTCCATGGTTCGTTATTTTTGACATAAACTTCCCCCCTCCCTAACCCGCCTGAAGGATGTCGAGTCAGAAGAGGCCTGGGAATTTAGTATCTTTTGCCAAGTTAAAATTTTACAGAATTTCAATAGACATCACGTGCCTCTCGGAAACACTGCAAAGAGGAGTATCAGAGTCCTGCTAAACAAAACTGCACTGAAAAATGCATAAAAATCGGGCAGCATATTAGAACATACTTCTGAGGTGATATCAGTGCGAGTTCCTTTAATACCTTTACAGCTATGAGGTAGCAGCCAGCATAACTGAACTAGAAAGGTTTGAACAAGGATGGTACTCAAGTCAGTTTTTGAAGCAACATAGTTGCTTGGGCAAAACTTCAAACTTATCAGACAAATGGCAGGGCAATAAATCAAAACTTACAATGAGTAATAAGTCATGCTTTTGTTCTTTCATCACTTAACTGGAGGTAAAAGCTTGCACCATGCCTCTTCATTTAAATAATATTAATAAAAAAAGTGATCCTCTCTGTCATTCACTCTCAGATTACACTTCTGGGGACAAAACAGACCAGAAAAACATCTTCCCTGACATTCTCTAGTCTATGCTATGACTTAAGAGTAGAAAGCCAAGAAAATTTCTTCCTCCCCTTCGACCTTCAAGACTTTCTGGAGAAAATCTCTCTAGCCCATCTTAGACATACTAAAAACGTCAGTGATCAAAACACTTAGGAGACCTATTGCCTTTTCATTTCTGGTTTGTGAGAGACCAGCATACCTCGGCTACACTACAGGAGTAAAATGCAGATTCAGAGAGCTTGCAAGGGTACGTCTTTCCTTGGCAGTTTGTTGCTGTCTCCTGCCAACACGATACTTTTCAAGTACCTCTTTACTTTAAGCTGCACTTACATCCCTATTAACGCAACTGCCTATGTTATTTTCCAGCCAAGCAGCTAGAAGAATCTTGCTTAAAGAGGCAGCTAAAAAAAGGAAAGTCTTTGACATTAAGGAATCTGGGCAAGCCAATCCTACAACAGTTTTTTTTTCCCCCAAGTACAACTTCACTCAACTTCTGTGTTTTCACACACCCGTTTACCTCATATGCACAGTACTGCTCCCACTTCCAACGCAACCTTTGAAAGTAACCCAATGAAAAGAGTGTCCCATTGAGTTCCACTGGGTGCTTTAAACTAGTCAAACCCACCACGGAGATGTAACCTCTCAAAGCCTTAATTAGAGTAAACAATACACAGAGAAGCAGTTGGATTTTTAAGTGTGGGAAGCCGGGCCCGCAACACACGGCGCCCGGAGAAGCCCCTGCCTGCCCAAGCCCTCGCTCAGGCCGGCCAGGACGGCGCAGGCCGGGGGGACCCTGCAGACTGGGGGGGCCCTCATCGGGCCCTGCCGCGGCCCCACGGCCGCCTCCCCCTCCCCGGCTGCAAGGCCGGGAGCCCGCGGGGCGCTCCCGCGCCCCTGCGGCGCAACAAGCGACATGGCGCCCGCAGCGGCCCTAACGGCCGCGCGCGGCGGGCGGGCGGGCGCGCGCGCCCTCGCTCACTCACCCACTGGCTGCTGAAGTAGTCGAGCCCCTGGCAGATGAGGCGGGCGGCCTGCGCCAGCAGCACCTGCACGCCCAGGGAGCTGCCCACGCAGTAGAGCCCGTAGAGGAGCGGCCCGCCGGCGCCCAGCAGCAGCAGCAGCCGCCGCCGCCGCAGCACCTGCTCGCCCAGCGCCTCGACGCCGTAGTTGGCGAAGCAGATGGGCAGCAGCAGCGCGGCCAGCAGCACGGGCGTGCGGGAGCGCTGCAGGCGGCCGAGCCAGCGGCGGCCGAGCGCCGTGAGCGAGCTCTTGAAGGGGTGCAGGAAGGTGCCGCAGAGCACGGCCCAGAGCAGCGGCCGCAGGAAGGCCTCCAGGATGAAGTAGACGAGCACGGCGGCGCCGCAGCAGAGCCCCGCGAAGAGCAGCGCGCCCGTGTTGTAGAAGGCCTGCTTGATGGGCTTCTCCAGCCGCGGCAGCGACACCCCCGCCGCGCCGCCCAGCGCCAGCCGCCGCGCCGCCGCGCTCTCCTC